GATTGTTATATTTCTCAACACAAAAAGTTAAATTCAAAATTAGAGTTCTACTCCACTTCACCTTTCAATTCATGAAGATAGACAAAACTGAAGACAGTTCTAAGCAAACGCATGATCAGTATTTCAGCACAGAACAGGACAGGCAAATAATTTAGTTATTCTTTCTACCCCATGTTAAAATTTCATTAAAAGTTTCAATGTGTTTAGGGACAAACCGTTTTTATTCGCAAGGAAAATAAAGGAGCAACTCAACTTAGGCGTTAAATGGCTCAACTCTTTGATAAATGCAGTCATATGTAAATTTCGAATAGTTTATGGTGTTTTCAGCAGTACGGGCTAGCTGTTATTGTTAAGCAAAAATTGCAGAGCTAACCATTAATTATGAACCCCAGTGTAGACACAGCTGACCGAATCGAAGCGACCAGACAGACCAACTAGCAGACAGGAACAAGAAATAGCAAAAGTTGCAAACCTATTAAAAGTGCCGACAGGCTTAATGCCAGTTGCATGTGTATGTGTATGTGTACGTGTGTGTGTGTGTGTGTGTATGCTTGTGTGTGACAGTTTAATAGCACCGAACTGCTCCACTATATCTTTTTTTTGTGCATCGGGCAATTTAACAAAACACATTTGACTGCGCCTCCGGCTTATTGGTTTATCTTACGCCCTGTTGCACAAAATGAAGTATGTGGGTTGAAAACTTCTGCTTCCTTCAACACGAGGTGTTGCTGCAGACAACGCTCGCAGCGAGTTCAGGGAGGTAGGACGGGGTCAAACAAATTGATGGGGAAACGCTTTAAAATGATGAGCTGCCAAATGGGTGTGGAAGCATAAAATGCGTTGCAATTTGCTTGCCCGGCCACAAAAGGCCGTGCCTGAAAATTGATATTGACAAAAAAATAACAATACATATAACACAGACCAAACTGAGACAACAAAGCAGATTGCCAGCGAGGATAGAAGGAGGGAGAGATGCGATGGGAAGTGGGACGGACGTTAGCAAGAAAACTTGCAAACACAAAAAAGTATATTGACATTGATATGATTGATACAGCATGCGTCAATATTTTGCATTGAAGCATAAAAAACAAAATAACGATGACAGATATGCCATGAGCGTGTGTATGCGCAGCAAACAGTGGAGCTTCAATAAAAAGAAGTGTTTGAAAGATATATACAAGTATGTATATGCAATCTCCTTAATACTCCTTAACGACATTAATGAAAGACGACAGGGTTCTACCAGGAACAAAAAAACAAACTGCTAATGCTTAGGGTTTAGGGGGATATGAACACAAGGTTCGGTTATTATAGCTCTTGTACTTTCTGAGATCCGGCAAATAGGAATCGAAAATATATGGGGTTCCTCATATCTCTATACTCTGCGAGTCAAAACCAAATACAGAATATTAAAATGTCAAACTTCACATAAATTATTTTAATTTATAAATAGAATTAAATTTATAAATCATCTACTTAATTAAATGGGAATTAAAATCGAAGAAAACCTAGGGGTTTGTGTAGCGTGAAATTTCAGTGGAAACTCTCTACAGTTTTGAAAGAAACCACCAGTAATATCGAATAATAACAACATTTGCAACTCCTTAAAGTATAAATATTCTTGATCAGCATTTACAGCCAAGTCGTTTTTGCCTTGTCTGTTTGCCAATCTATAAAAAATTACACTTTTTGGGTTTAAAAATGCAAAAGAAGGGGCATTCTTAGCCCATAAATTTACATCCATTTGCACATCTACGATTATGTACCAAGTATTTCGTTTTGGTTCAGGCAAAATTCTTGAGGCAGATTTAACAATTCAGCCCTACTATTCAAAGATAGTTAACATTAAATAGAACAATCGATACAATGGATAGTGCCATCGTGGATAGCTCTATTGTAAATAGGAACCAATTCGATGCATATTTAATATACGAATTACTGTTTCAATTACGGAAACTTAGCTATAAATTTCATTAAACACAAATTCCTCTTTTTTAAAATTTTATTACGCAGCTTAAGAAACAGTTCAAAAAGAAGCGGCTACATGTAGAATGAAATACACCTCAATATAAGTTTTTCTATAAGTTTTTGAGTTACAAACAAAACTAGCAGTCGGATTCGCTCAAATTTCGACCCTTCTCTCCCATATTATTTTATACATGCACGGTTCTTACATTTTGCAAGAACATATACAAACTGACATTGTTTAATGTTTTGCACTCATTTTGTTGTACTGGTCAAGAATATAATATGTAGTGTAGATAGTTTTCCAAGCCTCCTGCTGGGTGTTACATACATTCGGAATATAACAATTTCATAAAAAACTAATTTGGTATAGAGATGTTTTCCTGTATAAACGCCTCCCCAAAATGTAGGCAACAATTGCACACTCACATGTACGCATTTGTATGCGAATAACTCAAACAGAGATCCCAATGCCATAAATAAATACAAATGCAGAATGAAAACACACACGCGCGCAGATAAAATGACACAACGACGTGTGTGGCATAAGCAATTAACAACATTTTATCGTGGCACTCACAACGCGTGGGCGGGTAGGAATAACTCAACGGCAGGGCGTGGCACTGCCTAGCCAAAAGGGGGTAAGGTCTGAGGGATCCTGCTGTACAGTGAAATGCTGAAAAATATTGAATAAAATAAAACAAAAAAAAACCAACTGCAGGGCCAAAACAATAACTAGAACGACGAGCGCGTGATTTCAATGACCACGTCCAACCAAAAACTATGTATTGTACAAAGGCTCTACAGGCATCAGCAACAGTACAGTGTAGCAACAACAAAAACAACGACCGCAATATGGCGGCTGCCAGTGTCAGCTGGGCGCCAGATAACAAAGTTGCATTAGAAAGGAATGCGAATGTGAACGCGAGTATATAAGGCTCGTGTGTGTGTGTGCACTGAGAAAAATAATCATCACCATCCACTATATATCTCCTTGTTGCAAAATGTATTTTACAAAAGCCATATTTTAGTGGGAAAAGAGAGCTTTTCTAACGAAATGTTTCATTTTAATTATGAACACTTTTAAGCCTAATTGATTAGAATTTTATTTGAAACAATGGAGTAAAATCACCACAGAATCAGCTATAAAACTGATACATAACATGCAAAGTGGACTGAAAACTATAATATCCCAATTGAGCTGTCGCATAAAAGTATAACAATTAATCACACACGTAAAATAATGCTTATTTAAGTTTAAATTAATGCAGCAAGAAAGCGGCTACCCTTGCACTACGTTCGCTTATTTTTTTGAAACTTATCCATTTAGAAGAGAAATTTACATTGCCATGGAATTAGTTGAAATGTTTTTTTAGTGTTCGATTTTTCGAGTGTGTGGCCGGGTAGGTACGTGTTTACAGAAACGCGTTGTGTAGTGCGAGTTCGTTGTGCATGCTATTTGCCTAACAAATGAAATTTTCGTGTAGGCGCTATTTGCGAGTGCAGCAGGAAGCATCACGGAGTAATAGCCGCAGCAGAAGCTGCCGCCGCCGCTATAACTATAGCTATAGTCGGTAGAGCCGCGCAATAGCCGCCATGTCAGTGCCAAAAGTGCGCTTATTTATTTGCTGAGGCACAGCGGCGGTCGCCTTTTTTATTGTTGTTGTTGTTGTTGTTATCGCTAGCGAGTAACGAGCCAAAGCACGCCAACAGATATCCGCCTGCAGTCAACTATGAATGCCTGCCGAGCTGTTATCTGGTGTGTGGGAGTTCCAGCACATATGTACATACAAACATATATGTATGTGAGCGTGTTTGTGCTTGCGAGTACCCTTACCAAAACTTAAATTGATATTCAAAGGACAGTTAAAAATATACCGCAAATTGCATGTACGGTGGCTGGCTCTAGGGATGTCGATGTACATCGCTGCATCCAAATAAACATAAAATCGATGAAGCGCCGATTAATCAGATGTAACCATATATGTATGCTTGCAAATGCACTTTTCAGCTTGCAAATGCACTTTTCAGCTAACATAACATATAGTCATATACTATATACATATAGTATTTTACAGTATGTATGTATGATACACTATTTCAGCCAGAGAGATTTTGTTGGTTTTAACTACTTGCTGGCGCTAGCTTTAAAACTGTTTTTAAAACTAGTTTACCAGGCGTTCTTAAATATTTTATGTTATAACCATACATCGATGCATCGTACGTACATATATCGTGAACATAAAAAGTTTGAAAATAATGATTATCGTACATTTAAAACAACATCAACAACAATGGTAGAGTTGAACGGAATTTAAAAATACCACAAACTGGCAGAGCAAGTGTTAAGGGGAATACGATTCTTATGTGTTTCAGTTTCTAGCAATTTTGAAATTGCTATAAATTATTTATGCACGTACGGATACTTGCTTGCCTTGAAATCATCTAACAATCAAAAATAGTAGTAATCATCCCTGTATTTTTTAAACCGACCCACACACGCATAGACACAGAACATATCCGCACTTATAGTGAGTGTTATTCGCAATAAATGGCACACACATGAGTGCATTAATGTAAAACGGACAAAACAACATTAGGCTCGTTACTCGAGCTCAAGCATCCGCTTGAATGTCCCAAGCTTTAATTCTAGTGGCTGTTGCTATGCTGATTATTGGCTTACGCGTAGTTCGAGCGTAAAGACTATAAAAATCATGTATGCCACCATGCATGCGGTCCGCATGCGATTCGGAGGGTTGTCCCCAGCATACATATGAGTACATTTTATTGAGACTGTGTGTGAGTTGAAGGAGACGATTTATAACAGTGCTTTATCATTCTTAAAGTGCCGCAACAAACAATCCTGTTTTGGGCTTTAAGCAAAATATGAGCCATGAGGCAAAATTTTAATTAAATTTTTTCTACCGTGCAACTTGCAACATGCATCGCAGCGTCGTGGCAACTAGCACACGGCGACAGCTGCTGCAACACTTAAAATCTTCATTAATATTTCAACCAACAAATGACCGACTTACCGTTATTCGCCAGGCAAGGCTTACCGGCGCTGGCGCACACAGCAAACGTGTAATTCTTGTCATCCTTGCTCAGTATGTGAGGCGCCACACTGCTTAACGGACTCAAATCCAGACTATGTGGAGGAGACAAAATATGAGTGACGCATAGACTAACAGAAATTGTAGTATATATAAACTTACAGCTCATTTCCACGTATGATGCCAGTGCAGGGTTTCAGATCATTACAGGCCAACGGTGTTACAAAATTAAACTGATAGTGGCAGTCCGCCATGCCCGCAAACTCTGGATGTGCATTCTGAAAGAAAAATAAACAAACAAATACCTTGCGTTATTCATTTATAAATTATGATTCAAGCCTTAAATAATATACCCATTTTGTTTATTTGCTTTCCCTTACAAGTTTCATAAACATTTCACATTTCATTTGAAAATGCTCAATCACAAGTAAACATTCTAACGCATTCTTATATTTTAAATTGTAAAATTCTTAGTTTACCAGATCATGTTAGCAATAAAGTAAAAATAAAAATGTTTTATTTAAAATGAACAATTGCTGCTGTCACTTCTAAGTCCACTAAGCACCAATTCGTCAAATTATTTATATACAATTATTTTTTCAATTTAACACAGACCTCCACCGAATGTCTCTTATAATTCAAGAAGCTGATTAAATCTTATTTGTTGGAAATTTACGAGCTGAACCCGCTCGACTCTAGCATCCTTTTTTTGTTTATAAATGTTGTACGTATCTTAGGGGGATATATATAACAAAGCGGATCTAATCTACCTTAATACATGTAAATCAGCGAAAAATTACTAACTTTTAGAGTCCCGCATCGCGCGGGATCTACTGAACACCACCGACGAGCCAGAGTTGTCCACTCTCACCCATGTCAAACTCCTGTTCAGTCCGTTGTGTGGCATAACCGCTACATTAATAATTTATTAAGTATAATAAGCGTCAAAACTAATCGTCGTATGTTCAGTAGCACTCACAAAAATATTTGGGGCCTGCCTATTATTCAATGATGAGGAAAAATTTTATACGGAATACTCCTATACTGGATTAATCCAGCTACGCTACATTTGCAAAAATCTGTAAATTGTGCCGCATAATAATAAATAAAATCACGACTTTCGAGTTAATCAGAAAAATCGTTAAATTGTAGAGTAAATGCCCGCATGTTCAACGCACCTTCACATCCTTATCGCAGTAGAAGAAAACAACACTCGAATAGTTGGCACTTGGGTTGCTGGCACAGCGCGTGGTGGACTCGTGACGAAGCAGCAGTTGACCGTTCTCAATTGTGGGCTTCGGCTGCACAGTGCCGTAATTGGTAAAGCTAGAATGGGGGTATATGGGTATTAAACTATTAATAACTAGGTTCACATTTGGTTTGAAACACATGACTCACCGCTCTTTAATGTTCTCAATTTTGGGTGAGTAACGACAAATGCTGCTGCCTACGGGGCACATGGAATTCTCGCCATACAATACGGGTTTGCACACATTGATTACAAAGAAGGTTCCCTGGCGATCGCTTGTTCTGTAGATGAGACGTTAAATAAAAGCTTTTCTTGATTTCATTGATATTTTTGGATCCTCACCTGTAGTTCATGTCGCTTAGTGGCAGCAGATCGAAGGTGTGACCCGTTTGTTGGTCGTGCACACTGCAACTATTGGACTGAACGGCGTCAGGTATACGCAAACAGGCCAGAGGGGTCTCATAGTTAATGTAAAAGGAGCAAGCCTCCTGACTCTGCAAGTAAATTCAATCGTTAGATAGATTTTCGCATTTAAAATTAGGCCGTAAATGTACACACGTAGGGCGTAATGTACAGCTGTGTGGCATCCAGGGTGTAGTCACAACTTAGAGTTACATGCAGCTGGTAATTGGGTTGGTCGTTCGTTCCGTTCTCACATTTAACGCCACTTAAATACTTCAAGAACATCTTCCCATTACGATAATGTAGCTCATGCTGGCGTCCTGGGAAATATAGGATGATACAAAATTAGAGAAAGAATGTGCTTATATGTATATCCAATTTTTTACTTACCTAGGACATATTCCTTGCCCTGCCTCCTTAGGCAGGCGGCTGCATTGCTTTCATTGTTGCAGTTACGTGTTAAATTGCCACAGACATTAAACTCAAAAATATCGTTGCTTACGCTGCTAATCACATGTCCCAACTCCGAGTGCAAGCCACTAAAATTAAAAATCTCGCCATAGATGGGTTCCTTCAGCGAACATTCGCTCGTCGAGAACTCCTGAAAAATTAGCAAAAAATTCAAATCTTACAGCTCCATTTAACAGTCACTTAACAGCAGTACGAACAGCGATGCCTTTGTCACTGTTATCTATTTGTTATTGCAAGCAATTTATGGCCAACAATTAAGTACTCATTTACAATACGAGTGTATGCGTGAATATTTGTGAATATATATGAATGTGTGTATATTCATAGCAATGTGTGAGGGTATATCCATACCAAATGGCGCATTACACACAATATTGGTAGGGGCAACAAGTGCAGGGGCTTGTTGGCCCCACTGTTAAAGCCCAGCTGTAAACAAGCAACACGATTCGCCGTTACCCTCCAGTATTGGGTAGTTAGCCAAAGATAGATAATTCACTAGTTTCTTGGAACTATTTTTCTATATATGTATTTGACATACATATGTACATATCTAGCTTAAAGTAGGCAATTATGTCGCTTGTGTTTACTTCGGCTGAAAGTAAATTCCTTTCTTTTTGCCATCAGTCAGTCGATAAGTTTTGTAAAATAAGATGAATATACATATGTATATTTCTTAAATGTAACTAATTACTTTGGTACCTAAATTCGCATATCCAGCTGCCAGAATGCAAACAGGTACAATAAACCACATGCACATTTTGTTTATTTTTATACCCTGTACCCGTAGGGTAAAAAGGGTATATTAGGTTTGTGCAAAGTATGTAACATACAGAAGGAAGCATCTCCGACCCCATAAAGTATATATATTCTTGATCAGCATGACGAGAGAAATCGATCTAGACATGTCCGTCCGTCTGTCCGTCTGGATGAACGCGAGGATCTCAGAAACTATAAAAGCTAGAATAACCAAAGTTGGCATCCAGATTCTCCTAGGTCCGAGTAAGGACGAGTTTATTATTTTTTTTTTAATTTTCCCCCCCTTCCCCCGCTACAGAATTTCGTCAATAGCGTCCACATTTCAAATACTACCTAAACCAAACTTTGCACACATAATTTTTAAATAATTATCTACTATTGTTTAAAATTTTATTGAATTCTGTCAATTCTAAGAAAAGTTATTAGCGAAACAAATTCTCGCCAGTACAACCCCCCCCAAACTGCAGCAACAAGTTCGCTCTTCTTCTTCCTCTTTTTGCTGCTGCTTTGGGCGCATATAACTCAGTGACGGAAGTTTACCTGGGTACAGGGTATTACACTGTCGGGCTTGCTCGACTGTAGCTTGTTTTATGCTTTACATTTTTAATTAGCTTTTGTGTAACTAACGAATTTACTAGCGAAAAAAAGGCTACCGTACGAACTGAAAGGTAACCTCCACATACATACATAACAAAAACAAACAACTCACCCCAATCCCCTACACAACGGTTTAACGGGTACTTACCAGTTGATCGGAATCTGAAGTCACAAATGCAAGCGGAATGACAAGTAGAACAACAAGCGCTGTTATTTTGGCGCTTATATTACGCATTTTGCAGTTGATATACACACGAATTGGCGTTTGATAGATGATACTAATAATGCATACGATAGTTATTTGTTATACTATTTATAACATCAAACTCAACACTATTTCCAATAAACAGCACTAGACAAAGGAATTGTTGTTTATTTTAATGCGGTTCACCGCGCACTGAACGCTGGCTGATTTTGGCTTATCAATGAGCTCGTTAACTCTGTTTATTTAGACAGCAAAGTCTTATTTTATTCTTATTGCCGCTTCGATTTTTCAAACCGTTCGGCCTTATCTAACACCGCGTCTAAGCACAAAGCACGATAACTCACAATCTTAACGACACACACAACCACTAATGACTCATTTAAGGAAACAATGAAGGAGTTTAATTACAATGCACTTTAAGATTTACTTCGCTCAATGAAATTGGTCAAAATACTGCCGCGGTCGTCACTAACGTCTTGCTATTGTGTGGGTGCAAAACATAGCAAAAGCAACAGAACGAAAACATGCGGCATTGCTAAATAGTGGCAGCACTGTTAGGGAAGCCCTGGTTGCCGCAACAGCTGTTTTGCGTCTCACTTAATTGTTGATGCCGGTGGTAGGCGTTTTTTATATTTATATTGAAAATCAACCGAAATCGAGGTAGAAATGTCAGCCAACATTGCTGCTGCAGCTGCAGCCGCACAGGAAGTGGACCCCGTGCTTAAAAAGGCCGTAAAGCTGCTGCATTCCAGCAATCCGACGTCTGCAGCGGAACTGCGACTCCTCCTGGACGAGGCGCTAAAGCTGCGCTTTGGACCAGAGAAGCTTATATCGAACAACTTGACCCAACGAATGATGGAGGATGAGACCAACTTTCCGGGACGTGCGACCACACCACAGCCTCAGCAACCGATATTGGGTAGCGACGAGATTATCAATCTGACCAACTCACCGGACAAACCGCCCTCAGACTCGCCCGACACTATAATGGACTCAGATGATGGCATGAGTGGTGCCGGAGTAGCCATCACTGGAGTAGTCAACACCGGCGATACGGGCGACTTTGGCGATTTGAATTGTTGTGTCTGCGGTGAAATAGTGTTCACTGCCAACAACCGACTCATAGAGTGTTCCAAGTGCGGAGCACTTTATCACCAGGATTGCCACAAGCCGCCCATTACCAATGAAGAGGCTGCCGACGATCAAGAGCACAACTGGCAGTGCGACACGTGCTGCGACAAGCCTACAACGAGCAAGGCGGCACTGACATGTTCAGCCCCCACGGTCATCATTCCCGACGAGCCGATGCCCCTTGTCAGCAAATCTAAATCATCGGTGGCTTCATCACGTTCATCTAACTCTTCCAATTCCTCATCCCCCTTCTATAAGCCAGAGGCGGGCAGCTCAACGAATGCAAGCAGTAGTAGCAGCAGTAAGCATGGACATAAGACCTCGTCCTCCTCATCCTCATCAAAGTCGCACAAGGAGGAACGTGTCGGAAAATCAGTGGCGCCAGCTTTGAGTGTTATTAGTGTGCCTGAAAAACATACCAGCTCATCCTCTCGACGCACTTCTTCCACCAGCAACAAAACGAGCTCCGCCAAAACAAGCTCCTCCACATCCAAGCACCACGAGAGCAGCAGCAAACGCAGATCGAAGCAGTAACACGCGTTAAAATTTTATAAATAAACGAAATTAATTGTATGAAAAACTTTATTTTATTAACTTAAAGAAAGTAAATAAGTAGAAATGTAAAAATAAACGATTTGGTCCTTGGCAATGGAATCCAACCAACCGTATATGTGTATATAATGGAAAGGCAAGGAATGTGCCTAATGTTTGTACTTGCGTACTGTGACGGCAGGCGTTCGAGGACTGCGTCCTGATGATGACGATGCAGAAGTGCCAGTCTCCCCATCTACCTTTCGTAAATTTACCCGGGTGACGGGCGTATCGCCTTCATTGGAAGCAGCTGCATGTTTAGGCGTTCTAGCGTCACCAGAGCCTCCTCCAATGCTTCCACTACTCCCCTGGCTTTTGGCAGTTGTTGTGGGGGGTACTTTCTTCTTACGCTTCACATTAACAATCACATTTGCGTCCATGCTGACGTCTAACTCAAAATTAAATTCGTAGGTTTTGTTTGAGCGAGGATTTGGCGTCAGATCATCGTTGACCACAGTTTTACCAGGCCTGCCGCGAACCGAAACTGATGGGCTAAAATTAATTTTGGCATTTAGCCCATTGGCTGTGCCTGGAGTCTGCCGCTTGTCTGACAGTGCGCTTGAAGTCGGTTTGGGGGTGGAGGGTCCATTGGTTCTAGAACGCTTCTGTGTGGGACTGCGCTGACTAGGCGATGCCACCGATGCCCGTTTTCTGGGCGAAGGTGACGAAACACCTGGAGAAACTGCGGGCAGGCGTTTTCTCGGCGATGGCGATGCAATATGTACCGCTTGTCGCTTTCTGGGCGAAGTCGGTGAAGGCTTCATGCGTTCTACTTTGATCGCTGGTCTGCGCGTAGGAGAAATCTTTTTTTGTTTCGCGCGTATAGCAGGGGATGGTTTTGCGGGCTTTTTACGTGGTTCAGGTTCAAACATGTTATCGCCGTCATCATCCTCATCGCTGGCTTCAATCACTTCTTCGACCGAGGAATCAGCCGTCAAGGCTGCAGCTTTGGAGCGCCCACCCTTAGAAGCTGCTGCTCCTTTGCTCTTTTCTGGCGAACTGTTGTTATTGCTGCTCGTCGGCTTTAGCTTGAACTCTAGATCACCAGCATTCGATATCTTCATTTGCTTTAGAGCATTCAAAAAGATATTGCGACACTTTCCATAATCTGGCGCCTCATTGTGCGCCAATTTTGAAACATACTTCAAATAATCAGCAATAGCTGCAGGTACGCCTTTCGGGAAGAGAGATTTCAGTACAGAGCTTACATCGAGCATAAAAGATTCCTTAGCTTTTTGCACCTTGGTCGGCACCGCAAGTAATTTCTCCTTAACCCACGGCAGCTCCACGCCCAACCATTCGATGAGATTGTAACCTAAAATTTCTAGATCCGCACGCCGAGTAGCAACACCCATATGAGCGTCGCGTGATGTGTACTCGATTGTGCCATTGTGCATTTTCTTTGGATCTGGTTTGAATTCGCCCGTAACATAATGCGACGCCAGCCCGAAGTCTACCAAATAGGCCTGCGCACCACCTCCTTTTCCTGTACCCAATAGAATATTAGCCGCCTTGAGGTCTGCATGTACATATCCAGTGCTATGCATAAACTCATACACGTCTAGCATCTGTATAGCCAGTCGATAGACAGTACCCTCGGGTAGGCGTTTTCCGTTCTCTACATAGAATTTTGATATATCGCTGCCGTAGCGCGGCATAACAATGAAGCGGTGCTTTATACCATTAATATCCGCCGAACCGTTAGCTAGTATATATGGCATGCCCAGTGATTTTAGGCCATGCTTCTGCTTGAACTCTTTTATGTCATCCAGCTTCGCATTGCGCAAGTAAAAATGCATTTCGACAAAAAGCGGCCCATTACCATGTGGCTCCTGAAAAATCAAAGCCGTAAGTTCAAATCTCCATCTGTAAAGCCAACCTTTAACTCACACATTTAACAACTGCGTCGTAGTTCTTCTCACCCACTCGACACGCAGCATATATTTCGCCGAAGCCACCAATGCCTATCGAAGCGCCAATACGCCACTGTCCTTTGATCAGATCGGTTAGAACTGTGCCTTCCTTAAGCTTTTCTGGCATGGCATAAAGCTTGCTTTTCTTGCCGGCGGCCTTTTTAGCCGGCACTGCGGCAGCGCCTGGCGCCTTTGTCTTGACAGCACGCGGCATTTTTTATTTATTTCAATTTCATATATATTTGTTCAATTCTTGGCTGTTTAAATTCCGACGAGAATGAAAAGCAAATGCCGCCTAGGAGATAAGTCGCGCGCACATTCCCTTACAAAAAATACATACACACACACACGCTAACAATTAGCCAGTCACACGAAACGTAGCGTCGAACAATGTTGCCACACGACCGGACTAAATATGGGCCAAATAGCTTGCAATTTAATTATATCAATTGAAACCGTATTGTAGCGTATAGATCCAAACTTATTACACCGTTACCCCCAGGGAACGAAAACCAATGCCTTGAGTACATATAATTCGCGCAAATTAAGTTAGTCCTATGTGTACATTGTTGATGTACGGCAACATCATACAAGAATGCAACTCTGGCTCTGTGTGTTGATGGCGTCTTTTTTCGGACATTCATTCGCATAAAATTTTGACTACTGTGCAGACGCGTTCAATACGTGAAGAAGAAAATTCATAAAATTAGCACAGATATAATTTCGATTTACTTGTAACGCGCATTCCACGCATATTTAACGTCTCATTCGCGCTTTGTGCATTTAATAACCACGCATTCTACAAAAGAAAAATCGATTTGATAAAATGGTAATTACAACAATACGAGAAAGTGCCAGCCACAGCAGCGGCCTTAGTTACTTGACAGTTTGTGTTTTAATGCGCGTGCCTCACACAGAGCATCACTATAAAATATTAACACGACGACGACAAGCATAGCGCGAAAATTTAAATCCGCTAAATGCTTATTGTAGCATTTAAGGGATATACTCCAGTCCGTGTGTGTTTCTTTTTGGCACGGCGGTAAAGTGTTCAGCTTTAACCTCACAATATTGCTGGTTTCGTTTTGCCGCCACCATTTTTGTTTTTTTGACTTCTACGCTGTACTCTTCTAATTCTGTGTTCAACTTATATATTTATTTTGTACGGCAGGCTGGAGGCAAAGCAGGCAAAGATTCTGGCAAGGCAAAAGCAAAGGCTGTATCGCGTTCAGCTCGCGCGGGTCTTCAGGTGAGTGTTTTACAGTTAGTCTGTACATTTTGGCGCCTTTTTTAGTCGCTCGCATACAGGGTGCTGCTGTACACAAATACATACATACACAGACACGAATGTTTGTTGTGAACGTTTCGTGCGCGCGCTGCAATGTTTTGTATGTATGTATGCGTGTATCGGCTTTTAAAGAACGCCTTAGGGGTAGCAAAACATAAACACAAGTGTTGATTGCGGAACTTTTGGTTATTTTTTTGTGCGTACGCACTTTTCTTTGCAAACAGTTCCCCGTTGGTCGTATCCATCGCCATCTGAAGAGTCGTACCACATCCCATGGTCGTGTCGGTGCCACTGCAGCTGTGTACTCTGCAGCCATTTTGGAATACCTGACCGCCGAGGTAAGCGCAACTTACAGAGATTTTCCCGCCCAATTTCCCGCTACTTTATGGCTCTTCCTCTATTCACATTGCTTGTGTTTGCATGAGCTAGTTTAGTGTGTGTGGCAATTTGTGCTAAAAATGCTAGATACTGAAGTAGACCATTCTTTCATCGTTTTATTTTCCAGGTTCTGGAATTGGCAGGCAATGCATCGAAAGACTTGAAAGTCAAGCGTATCACACCCCGTCATTTGCAGCTCGCCATTCGCGGTGACGAGGAACTGGACAGTCTAATTAAGGCAACTATTGCTGGCGGTGGCGTCATTCCGCACATACACAAGTCTCTCATTGGCAAGAAAGAAGACACTGTGCAGGATCCGCAGCGAAAGGGCAATGCCATTATTTCGCAGGCTTATTAAATAATTAATTACCAACTATTTTTGACATTTTCGAAAACGTTGCATTATAACAATTAGGCGTGAAGCAGAATTCATTGATCTAAGCATCCGCCCCGATCCCCACTCTGCCCACAAACACACGCATTCACCATACATTAAAAAACTAAACGTTACAAGGAAGCATACATATAAACTTAATTGTCAGTGAGAAATCGTTTTACACTTATGCAAAAGAGAAGAAAACAAATCTTAATTTAGAGCAAAATAAATTACACAAATAAATTTAATAAAAATAAAAACAAACAACTATTTATTATTGTACAAAATTTATTGAAGCAATCATTAAAATGTAATTTACATCATTAAGCAGAAAATATTGTAAAGATTGATTATACAAATTGGAGTATTGTTCGAAAGTTATGACGACGGCTCTCGAAATCTCCGCTTAGCCCAAAAGGTGAGGGACAGCGTTCTGCACATCATCACAGCGTTCCTTCAGTACCTCTTCCTTCAGCTCCAGACAGGCACCCCACTCCACGAGTGTGATGCGGTGATCCTTGTTCGCATCGCACGACTCTAGGAAGGGCGCAATGCAGTGCTCCAGACTGACTAATGGCGCCCGAATGGGGAACAACTCGTGGCGTGAGACCGAACGGTCGGTATCACCATCTAAATCGCACCATTTCCAGACAGCAGCGTTGGCCCAGCGACGCGTATTGTCAGTCTCGGCCTCCAGTTCCATTTGCATATAATGTTCGGTGAGCTCGTCGCGCTCGGCCAGATCGCGCATCACGTTAAACAACCAGTCGCGCATGCGGCGTGGGAAGTCCTTCATGTCCTCTTCGGGACAATCGCGCGCCTCGTGGCAGGTGCCGTAGTAATCAATGTGTAAATGGGTGTTGTCCGGATCGCGGCAACCGGCAGCCTTGGTGTCGCACAGACAACGCTGCTGGTAGACTGCACAATCGGACGGCCAGGTCTCGTTCTTGTTGGTGCATACATGGCGGCGTACGTCCGACTCTTCTGGGCACTCGGGAATGCAGACACACTCGGGCTTGTCATCGGCCATCTGGCAAACGCGACCAGCTCCGCAGTGCATGCGATCGCACGGATCGACTTCAATGACTGGGTTGTTCAGCTGATTCTGCTGGTTTTCAGCCACTTCGGCCAATTTGCTAATCAGCTCATTCTCACGTTCCACATCCTTAGCCTGTATTGAAATGTAATAATTTTGTATTGTTATTGCAAACATTTTCATGGCATACATTTTAATTATCAATTCAATTTGATATCAATAATAAGCATCAATTGAAATATTCCATTATATTTGTTGTTTATTAGTTCTTATATTTGGATATTTATATGTTAAGAGATCTTAAGGGGATGTTTAAACTTTAAAAGCAAGTGAACGTTATCTGAAGCTTGTAAATTTTTGTCAACCAACATCAAAGTTTGCTTTCATTTTACCTGGTTCTTCTCCTCCAGCAAACGCAAGAACTCCTCGTCGTCCTCATCAAAATTGGCTATATCCTCGAGGCCAAATATGTCATCAGACGTGTCGTCGGCACGTACTTGGGACAGTGCCAGCAGCCCCAAGCAGAGCAGCAGCCAAAGGGAACGCATTGCTAAACTGAAAGTAGTAGATCATTTTCAAATTGTAATACCGCCTAATCTACACGGAAAATGGGTCGCCAAAGTTCGTGCTCTCGTTTTCGTAACCGATTAGACATGGCCTTCAGTCGTTCATAAAATCATTCTGGTAATTTCGGTTCTTATCATCCAAAACGGGCTTGTGTTTGTTTTCCTTCAGGTATATTCGTATTGGCATACGAAGCAGCTGTCGTCTGTAACTGTACTCCTTCAGACTAGCGTACAGTTACAAACGAGTAACGGTCGACGCTGTAACCAACCCCTAATGGACAGCATTAGCGCCTTGCTGCCACCCAGACAATCGAAGACGCATAAATTACGGATGTAATCGAGTTCAAAAGGTCACACAACATTTTCCAACGTAACTCCAAAGCGAAACTACGCAAAAATTCATGGAAATTCATGGCAAGCAAACAAAGTCGCCTCAATGTCTCAATCAGGAAAAGAAAGAGGGAATCAGAATCACTACACAAATGTGTAGTTTTAATTAAATGGGGTGAGCTGCCTTGGTGTTGAATAGAAAGCGCTGTGGCTTTTCCAATGTGGCTGGAAAAATGCCACCAAATATATAATTGAGGCTGCAGTTTTGTTCTTCTAACACATTTGCGGGCAATTTGTTTCCCTAAACTTCTTAATATTTGTTTTCTTAACCATTAATGCCTAAAAAACATTTGAAAATATAAATCTTTTGAAAAATAAGTATAGAGTATTTTTTATTGTTAAATAATTTAGGCAGTTAGGCGAATCAAATTATGTGTGTAGAAATTATGAAGAATTTTTCATTGCTAAAGCAAAAAGCGAACTTTTTGCAGGTCAATTGTTTTGAAAATAAATATAATCTTTAGCATTATTCACAATTGTTCATTTTGCCAACAAGTTTCAAACTAAATTATTTAGATTTAAATCCAAAAAGAACTTTCCGTGGTTTATATCGAAAAAGATTCTAATAGGTAGAGTAAAATTTATAAAGTCAGAAGAAACTTATGAGGTTATTTGAGAAAAGAGGGCCTGTCCGACTCTTAAATGCCCTGATTTCAAGAATATCCTGTAAAATAAACTCTGTATGTAGTATGAGAACTATTTGAAGGCATCAGGTTATACTTAGGCCCCAAATTTTTAAAAGATATCCGCATAAACAACAATCGTTTAATGTTTCTATAAGATGAGGCTTGCCATGCCCTAAACTAGTTTAAAAGCGCTGGAAAACCCTCTCTAATAAAGCATATTTCGTTCGAATTTCGAATAATATTTACATACATACATCATCGGAATTTTTGAGTTCAGCGAATGTTTTTTCTTTTTTTTTTGGCTCACCACAAATTGGCGGCATGTCGAACACATGGCATATGTTTTGCAGATCAAAGCTATTTTGCCTCAGTATAGGAATTATTATACAGACGGGTAGAAGTATATACAATACATATATGTGTATGTAGTTGTCGTTCTATTCCTGATTAGAAGTGACCTTAATGCTGCCATACATATGTACAAGTGTAGTTTCATAAGTCCATATACTCCTATCAAAATGTCGCCACATTCCGGCGCCTTTACACATATAGTATAAGATCACATCCAAACGCGCACCATGCAGCGACAAATGTGGCTTATCGCTGACTCCCAGCTTATCAGGGTCTTCCGTTTTGGGGCCTGTATTGGCGACAGCGTCTTGAGATTTGCTCAATCGTTGGGCAAATGAGACATATGTATGTATGTACAATTATTATTTTGGAACGAGCACAGATTTTTTACAAACATACATACACATGCATATACTTCTGTATATAATAGATAGATATGTATACTATATGATGTATGCATATATAGTTTGCCTTTCTTGTGCACTTAATATGTGAGCATTGCAACAATTTCCAGGAACGCGCAAAGGCATTTCGCTGCGATGCGATGCTGCTGTATGTAGATTTAAGTATACGAGTATGTACATATCTATGTTTGTCTGTGTTGAGTGTGCGATTTGTTATAGCTGCACTTTAATTACATGAATGTATCTACTATACATGCACAAAAAACCGACTAAGAATGACGTGATGCGGCGCATATAGACGCAGATATTGTGGAATATGCTAGCAGAATATTTGTGGGGAACTGCACTCAATTGGATATGGGGATCGCTCGAGATACATACATACATATTATAAGTATAAACAATGTACAGTAATATAGAGAACGAAAACACTGAGAGAAATGTGGAGAAGTTTTGAAAAAGTGTAAGCCAAGGTAATAGTGGAGGGGTAATAGTGAAGAGATTGGTCACGATAGAGTCGACGGCTAAAGACATGTGTAAAATATCATCAAATTATTCACTAGACTCTTTACAACTTCTTTATAACCTTGGCTGAAAATCCTTGCTGGAAAACAATAATTGGATACTTTTAAAACTACGTATCAGATCACAATCACTTTCGGGTTATTGCACCAAGAGAAGACACATTTTGGTGATGAAAACTGACTATTTTAATAAACAAGTGTTAGTTAGACCAGATTTATTAATAACGCACTATTTTATCTTTAAATTCCTATAGGAAATTCGAGAAATTGTCTAAATTAATTGACGTTGTGCGAAATAATTGAGTTCAATTAACTTGAAATTGGGCTTTTTAAATTGATTTATACTCGTTATGGATAGAACACATATAGACAGATCCTTAGCACTTTGTTGTTATTGAACACTGATTCGTAATAATACTCACTATAAAATTTAATTTCCTGTTCTATTTAATTTTTAAAATCGTATTAGACTAATGTGTAAACGCGGCGACTGCTGACGAGCGACTATATGTCAGACTGTGCGCTTCTCAACGATTTTGGATCGTTTGTGGATGGGCCTCCGATCTCAGATATGTTTGGTCGCCAACATGTTGGCTGCCCCCAAAACATTGCAACATGTTCGATTGGGAGGGCTTACATGGAGAAAAGCGGCGAGTAAATAAAAAACATTTGTGTTTAGGTTTTCAATTAATTCACTTTTATTGGCTTGCTTTAATTTTTTTAAATATACATATATTTGAACATAACATGCATATAGGAAGAGAATTGACTTACCACATACGGTCTTCAGAGAGGTTCTTCTAGTTTCTTCGTCTTTGATTCAGCCTTGTTTTTTAATTATTGTGAAAAAGAGATATTTGAATATTTTAATAATTGGAGCGTATCAGCGTATCAGTATCAGCAATTTAAAGAAGCATTGACCCTGCGAACTTACCTTAAGACCCAGCTTTAAATTGAAATAATTTCATTACACATAAACACATAAAATGAAATGAAAATTGGACGATAATGCACCCTAACTAAAATCATTGCAAATGTAAGGCTGGTTGTATTTTTCTTTTGCTATTTTTAAAGAAAACGTTAGACTTCGACCTTTCCCAACCTCAGACCCATTTCATCTTTGTAGCAAATAATAATAATGGTGGACGTACTTGGTGGATTCTTTGTTCGTCTAGTTATGGTTTCAGATATTTGCTTCAAAGATAGTATGTTTAAGCCTACAGGGGACGATACTGATATATGTATGTAGTACGTATATTTAGAGCTTCATAAAATTAACTAGATTCATGGCTCATAATTAAAATTATATATTTATATAAAATAAATGTTATGTTACCACTACTTAGAATTTTTCCATATTTAGAGACTTACATCGTAACTTGGTCCTGGTGGAATAGTTTAATAAAATGTTTAGATACGTATGTAGCATTATTGTTTTGCTCAGTTTTTATTTATTTAAAATAAATGTAGTGCTTTGAATAACATAAGTAGATTGTAAATAGTAATTTCGTTATGTAGAATAAGCTTAAATAGGCTGGCAATTTAGGGGCTAAGCTTTGCTCTTACATTATCCATACATATGCGATAAAAGTAAGTTTTAAGATTTTGGTATGTGCTAGAACTTAAGGATGTCTACAAAGCAAATCATTTCTGTACAATCTAAGCCTAAGAGTTTATGTCATGGCTGCTAATTGTATTGTATTTTATAATGATCATATACACTCAATATCTTTTTTCGTTTTTCAATCACACTCCAAGCAGTTGCGCATGCGCTGGTTAGAGCTTTATTCAAAATGTATTCTATATGAACATATAATATATTGTTTTCATTATTTTTTCATGTATTTATGAATTAGTCCATTATTTTTTTTACATTCGATTTGTGGTAATCAAAATTGAAATCTGCATTGAGTTATTATTAATTGGTATTAGACCTAGTTGATTATTTAAATTCGTGACTATCTTATATATTCCTTTGCTGTTTATTTTATTATATTGGAAAATCTTTACTATTATAGAAATAATTAGGTAGAGAATTATTACAAGGATCAAATATTATTCCATGTTGATAGCATTGAAACCCTATCTTGAGTAAGACTTTTACAATGTGAGCTCACAAAGCTAACAAAAATTGCGAAAGGCTTCATTGTAATAAAAAAAAGCAACTGAAATAGTTTATTGAAACATGCTTATAATATACATAAAATAATAATAGTGGTGCTCTTTAATTCCTGCGACCATTAATTCATTTTACTTCCTCTTAATAGACTATTATTTAAACAGATATTTCGTCTGTGTGAGCTCACTTAAGTATTACAAAATACGTTGGTATTCATATCTGTTACATCGAATTTATCTTTTGTTTATAAAATTGACGCTTATTTGGTTTTGTGTGACACCCACCCTTGCGATGCCCGCCAGCTCGAATCTTGGCTCATGGACGTATTTAAGATTTCTAACGCCGACAACAGCAACATTTCATGTGAAATGCAATAAAAGGCATTTATTACTCAGCACTTGACCAATAAGCTTATTAAGCCATAATGCTATACGGCATATATATAATTCTTAATTCATTTTACGAAGTAATAATACTCTTTAATTATACAAAAATACATTAATTACTTGAGCTTTCGTGTATCGCAAAAGTGGGAGCTGAGTTACATTTTCACAAAGGATAGAGAACGCTAGATGTTGTCTTAAAGAAATTCCAATAACCTGTTGTTAAAAAATAAATTAAAACACCTTTTCGCTTCTTCGCTCTCAGAGTTGTGCGAAGTATAGTTTATAAAACGTTTGTATATAGTATGTACTCGTGGGCTATTTGTGTATAATGTATGTATGTATACTAAATAGATATTTTCATAAAATGTACTGATACCTTAGGCTTATAATTAAAAATCGTATATAGACGTGGCTTAGATATCCATATATATATTTATATATATAAAGAGAGAGGGAGAGAGACAATGCGGTATATGTCCTGTTTTAAGTTACTAAGCTTATAACGAGCCTATAATTTTTTTTGTTTAGCTTTTGTGTAGCACAAAATGCACGTGTGTATGTATCTAAATTAAAGAGAATTTTAAATATTAGTATTTTAAACTGGCATATATTTAGATCAGACATACTTAAGGAATTTAATAGAGACTGAGACAAGGACGTTTATTATCGGTTGGTTTTTTGCTGAGTAGTGTTGGATAAATGCTTATGGCGGAAAGCAGCACGAATAGTAATTCAAACTTACCCAAAGTTATCGTCGATATTTGCTATTAGCGCTAGCTCCAGTGGCCACCGAACCATTGGAGACATTCTTGGGCACAGGTCCCGAGGGAGCTGCAGTGCCATTTGGTGGGACTGCAGAACTGTAAGGTCCGTAACCGGGGGTAGGAGGTTGCGCATTGTCTATTGGTTAAGGGGAAGAACAAATTAAAAAATTGCTTTAGAGACCACATAGTACGTTCATACGAAGCTCTCAAATGATAAGTTTTGACATTCGAATGGGCTACATTTATGTCAAATAATATTCGAGGTATTTAAAAAATATGCAAATCATATTTGTACAAAAATATTTTATAAATATTGATATTTGATTCAATATTTGCTCCAAAGCTGGAGGAAAAAGTTTGTTGACTGAATTTGTGTATAACAGAAATTATTGGAAAACAAATGAAGAATATGATGTCAAATATCTTATCTTACTTTTACGGCGTTTAGCTTCATTGAACGGCTGCATGAAAGAAATATAGATGAAAAGTTCGATGTCAAAGCGCGGATTGTAGGCTTCGTATAAACATAGCTGGATTCAAACTTACAGTAGTTATTGGCCGGCGGTGCAACGGGGTACGGATTCATGCGATTTGTATTCATGTTGTTATGTTTAGTCGGTCCTCCGCCATAGTTTTGTTGATAGCCACTGCCGAAATTAGGTGGTTGTTGTTGTTGTTGCGGTGGTGGTGCCTGATTAGCCGGTATGGCGCCATTGGGTTGCGCACCAGAAACAGGTGCAGCCGCACCTGGTGGCATGTTCCAATTTCCTGAAGGTGGTGGTCCGTTGCGATAATGATCTGCTGGTGGTACACCTGCCGGCGGCGGTTGTACAGGCGGCGGACCCCACTGATTGGCATTCCACTGAGCACCCGGTGGTGGTGGTGGCGCATTCCAGCCATTCTGTGGTGGCGGATATGCGTTCCAGGCATTCATTGGTGGCGGCCCCTGTGGGTAATACTGTTGCATTGGGGGTGGTGGGCCCCAGTAGCTATAGTTTGGCGGCGGCGCACTCATAGGCGGAGGCGGTGGCCCCTGATAGGGTTGGATTGGTTGTGAAGGTGCTGGCGGACGATAGCCGGGCGCAGACTTTTTGTTATTCGGAGGCGCTTGTAGTTGCTTTGTACCACCATTTGCAACCACACCATGTCCCGACTTGTCATTCTTTTCGATATTGTAAATAGATTTTTTGACATCTACCAGCACATACTTAATGCAGTGCTCTCTTTTTACTGCAAAAGGACATAAGAAAAAAATACTGCATTTAGAACACCAAATTTGAAACCGTAGTACTCAACACCTACATATGGCTTTGTCTACAGCATCGTAATCATCGAACTCGACGAAGGCAAATCCTCTGCGTTTCCCAGTGGTTCGGTCTACGAGCAGCTTCACGGAGATAACACGGCCGAATTGTGCGAAATACTCATTCAGGCATTCCTCGTCATGATTGTCTTTTAGTCCGCCGACAAAAAGCTTCTTTACGGAAATATTTGTTTCACGTGCCTCACGCTCTGGTCGAGGCAGCGCCCTCTTCGCTTCTACGGCTCTATTTACAAAAAGACAACACACTCTTTTACCAAACACAATTCATATAAGAAGGTCCACTTTACTTACTTTCCGTCTATAATATGAGGTCGATTTTCTTGAGCTTTGTCAACCATTGCCGACTTTGTGTATGTAATAAAGCCGAAGCCACGCGAACGCTTTGTAGCAGAGTCCCGCATCACCACAACATCAACGACTTTTCCCCATTGTCCATAGTACACCTTGAGGTTCTCCTCTGTAGTGTAAGGGGCCAGTCCGCCGATAAATAGCTTACGTAAGTGCTCCAATTCACAAATGTCCTGTTTATAAGGGATGACGCATTGCATGCATTGTGGGTTGGGGTATGTAAAAAAAAATGGCATACATAATTTTCATTGAAACTCACATCAGTGTCCGGTATCTCGATTACCTCGCTAGTATCGTCTGCAATAACCTCTTCTTTAATGCGCATGGGGTTCGCCATGTCTATTATTTTTTCTCTTAGCTGCAACTAAATTAATAAACCAAGAATTTGATTGACTTCAATCGAACTTCAATCCGGAAAAGAATATTCATGTAAAAGAAGAAAAATCTATATTTGACATTCGCTGGAATACGAACACCATTTTGATTGTCATTCACCACGAAGTTACGTAGCAGTCAGCTTGTGCGCGCGACTTCAGCACTTAGTGCTGCCAATTACGCAGGCTATAGTGTTTGTTTTGGTTTAGTTTATGTACATTGGTTTAGTTGATGTACACAACGCTTATATAAACAAATATAAGTGCGGTTCATGGTGTTTAAGTGCTTAATGCAATCCATTGGGGTAAGTAATTTAGTATTTGGTTGTTGGCCGCCCAATGGGTGAACTTACCAAACATTCCGATATGTAGAATATAACAGTGAAAAGACTTGCAATATTCTCGTTATAATGCCGTTATATTTGTTTTTTACTTAAACTACACACGCGCTTAATACAATCTGCAACTTAGGTGGTAAATAATTTAAAGCTCTATTAAAATTATCAACGCATAATTGCTAACATGTATTTATCAGCGTTGGCGTCTGTGCTGGCGTTGGCAGCGCGCTGTTGTTGTTATTGTTATTGCCGACGATGCCATTGCTACCATTATGCCGCCGCTTTTCGTGGCCATCAATGTCAATATAATTAACATCCGCATTGCGCATATTATTTACGACGACCTGCCGATGCGTGTTCTCCTTTTGCAGCATTGGCGACGCATGCAGGCCCGATCCATTGTAGTAGCCACTGGCTTGCCCGGCTGTCTGTAGATTCGTGAGTATAGTCGCCGGGTTGCTCGCACTCCCCACAGCCGTCCCATAACTCGATTGTCCCATAATACTGCTCATAAAACCATTGGCCACGACAAAGTTCCTGCAAATTGATTATATCGTAGGTACATCAAAAGATATCCCAATTCAAATGTGCTCCGTGGGCAGGGGCTAGGTACGGCTAGTGCCAGTGCCTGTCTAATTGGGTTTGTGTGCGCGTAAATGTCGTAAAATTAATTTCGTGTTAATTTTATGTGAGTACATCAATTAAACTTGTGACATTTCCTTGAATTACTTCCGTTGCAAAAGGCCCTTTCAGGGGTGTCTATTTTTATAGCTCATACCCTTCCTCCACTCCATTTTGGTCACTCACCTGTAGTGCTGATCAATTTGCGCCTTCTCTATACGTTTGTCCTTCGCACGGCGGTTTTGAAACCAGATTTTGATTTGTGTCTCGGTCAGCCTCAAGGTCTCAGCTAGTTCAAAGCGCCGGCTCCGAGAGATATATTCGTTGCGATGGAACTCTACCTCCAATCGCAGCGTTTGCTCGGTGCTGAAAGTGGTGCGTTGGCGACGCTGACGTCCCTCCTTCCGACGACGACGGGCCACTAAAATATTTAAAGCAATTGGATAGATTTAAGATCAAAATGAAATAAAAAAATTTAAAATAAGAAAGGAATGCGAAAGTCGGGCAGGCTCAACTCTTAAATACCCTGTACCACCCCACAAAAAAGAAATTAATTAATTAAATTAATTTAATTAAAGTAATTAATTTATTAATTAAATAAATTAAATATAAAATATTCCATACATGCATGCATACATTTACATCAGAATCTATGCGTGTTTGTGTACTTGTACATATGTATGTATGTATGTGTGCATTGAGCCTGGTTATATGGCTATAACTTTCTTTCTGCATCGGGAAAAATGAACAAACTCGTCCTTTCTCGGGCTCAGGAGAATCTGTATACCAAGTTAGGTTATTCTAGCTTTTATAGTTTCTGAGATCCTTGCGTTCATACAGAAAGACAGACCCTTTGGGTACAGGGTATAAAAATTAAAAATACGGTGGAACGTTTTTAGTGGTGAAATGGATTGATTGCTGGTATTTGCAATTTCAAATCACGAACTCTTACATTCACGAAATAAATGTAATCTGCCTTACTAATTGTTGTTAAAAAAAGAACAAGCTAATACTTTCGTATTTTACTTTTAATAATGTTGATGTCCTTTAGTTACTTAAGAAACGATCTGTTTTTTTCAAATTCATTGTGATTTTTTTTTTGCAATAAGATATTTTTGTTCTCAAATATCGTTGAAATTATTATCAAGTTTTTAATCCTTGTCAACTATTAAAATGTTTGTTTTATTATTTTTTTACTCGCGAAGCTTTAGAAAGTTAAGGTAATATGCAATATTATATTTCGATCAGAACGGACATTTTCAATGAAAACTTTGCATTACAAAGAAAATCTTGCATTAAGTTGCGGTAACAAATGCCCAGAAAATATTCATGAATTAACATAATCCCAAGCCTTCTGATATGTGTAACTTAATGTCTCCATCCACCTTATCTTGTTTTCTATTTTAATTTCAATTGACGTTGATTATTATGGAACTCGCACCACTCTAATCCCTTTTTCTGCAATCATAGTTCTGTTGCATCAATCAACAATTCATCTGCCATAATGGAGATGTTAGAGCGAAATTAATCTCGCATTAACAAGCTATTAGGGACCATCAAGCTATGCACCCAACCCCCTCTACCAAAACACCCACATAAACCATTCCGAGCGAGCTCGCGTGCCGGCAAGTTAAACAAATAATTAACCGCCTTCCACCCATTTCGTACGGCAATGTTTGCGTTTTCGCAGCACATTAAAATGCATTTTACACGTGTTTTTTGCAGCTCGCTTTTTACCGTGCCCACCATTTACCAACCCCCAACACCCTCCGGCCCACACTCGGACAATCTGTACTGATCCGGGAAACTTTGAACAATGCCAGCAGCTGCTGTCTTTCGTTTTTTTATTTTGAGGCGCTATTCTTGATGTTCTTGTTCTTGTAGCATTTATCATTGTTTGTTTGCATTTGTAGTGTCGCTTCACTCAGTGTTCAAGGCTCAACCAACCGCGAATTATGCTGCACGGCCTCCACTCCATCCACACCCCTGCCAACCCTACATGTCTGCGGTCCGCTCCTTAGCGGTTAATTGATGTGTGCCAATCCTGGCGCGACCAAAGCTAGAAGGTGCCGTCGGCATATGTAGAATATGAAATGATTTGTGGTGGTTCCGTAATCCCTCTTCTTAACCCTCGTTGGACTGACTCCGGACTGTCTTAAGCTTCGCTTTTGCTTTTCGAAATCACGTGTGTAATCCGATAGGGTTAAGTATCCAAGTGTTCTTTGAACAAGCCCAAGTGTCCGCCAAAGTTGTTTGTGTTGTTTTGGTTGTCGTTGTGAGTGTTGGATGTGTGTTTTTTAGGTTTCCTGTTAAGCTCAATTACAATGTTCACGTTTTTTTTCTTTGCACTAATGATCTTTACAATGGCTTTTTTTTTTGGTCAAGTGCCTTTCTTTTAGGCGTGCAAGCTAGTTTAACAAATTGTTGAAAAGGTTTTATTTACTTTCGTTTGCTTTTAAAAGTTTCCACCTTTACTAATTGGGAAACAGTGCTATGATATCATGGCGAGTAAAAAGTATCTAGTTTAATGAAAAGTTTGGTTGAAAACTTAAATTTCCAGTTCGGCAGAAAACAAATATTTTTCACTCCTTTCACCTATTGGAGCTATGGAGGTATAATATTGTTGTAGCCTGGATAAGACTTGAAAGCCTTCGAGTCCCAAAGATATTATTGTACATGATACATACTACACATATTTCATCTCTAGATTTTGTAATACATATTTAAATGGATATTTAATATTTCATAGGCCGATTAACAGCAGTCTACATACAAGTAGTACATACAAAAGAAAATATTGTCTTCTATATAATTGTGGAAAGTCGTACCATAATACCGTGAGAGGGTGAACTAGCATTTTAGAAACCCCAACCCTTTTAAGCATATTAGAAAGTTTTTGTCAACTCTTTATTTAAAAGGCACAAGAGTATATTAGGTTGTAGCAGGCAGAAGGAGTGGCAGACCCCACAAAATATATACTTGTATATTATTAATCAGCATGATAAGACGGATGGATCTAATGAATAATCTCCCATCAGTTGTAAGAGTATTCCTCCTACGCCAATGTAATGAACATATAAAATAGTTTTTATATTTATGGAAAATTAGAGCTCCGTAAGCAAGTTGCTATCTAAAACTTCTCGACATGTTGGACAATGTGTTACTAACTAACTAACCTTTTTACGCCACCAGGGAGTGTTTGAACACGCAAAGTGATTTTAAATCGAACCGAAAAACTTTAGACATATTAGACATTGCTGAACTACTTGTTTCTACTGTGTTATCTTTAGAGTTGATTGAATGCTGGCTTTAAAAGCTGTATGCATATGTTGAGCCCCCATTTCAGCATTCAGTTAAAATACACCTTCTATTCTCAGTACCCCCTGTCCTCTCCCTAATTATGGACGGACCGCAACCACCTTTAAGCGAAATTACCACAAGTAAATGCAAAATTTTTACGGCTGAATGCATTTTAATTTTTTTTCGCAAACGCAAAAAATCCTTTGCGCCCCTGCTTCTTATTGTTTTCCTCTGCTTCGCTTTTTGTTGCTCTTTAAGTATTTTTTCTTCAGTGATTTTACATAATCCGGCCGTGTGCAATGATATTCTATAGCTTGGCTGTTTTTCTGCAGCCATTCAAATTTTTTCTGCGCTTGCTGCTCTTTTTTGTAGTTCCTGCGGAACTAATTTCTGTTCGGTATAGGTTTCTGCACCTGTTTGCGCAGGCGTGTGAAACTCTGGCCACTTCCTTTAAGTAGTATACAAGTAGTATTAATCATGAACACCTTAACTTTGCACTTTCAGTGAGAAGAACAATGCTGGCAGCATTGTGCTTCAGCTGCCCCCGTTGTCTGCTTCTAAGGCGGGGCGGGGCGCGTCTGCCTGGCACTCCGTTGCCGAGAGGACTGGCAGACCAGACGGCTGAAGAAATTGTGGTAAGCTGGCTAGCACCTTTAACCAAAAACGGTAATCATAATCCGGCTGACTTGCCACAGATACCACCAGAGCCCACAACATGCTGCATGTCAGGATGCGCGAATTGCGTCTGGCTGGACTACGCACAAACACTGTCCAAGATTCTGGACAATAACGACGAGCGTGCTCGGGAAATTGTGCTCAGCAGGATAACAGATCCAAACCTTAAAATGTTTCTAAGCTTGGAGCTGAGAAATCTGAAGCTAATGCGTGAGACTGCGGCTGCAGCCGAGGAGCCAAAAGCACCAAATTAGTACAAAATGCTGGACTCTAATTTAAATTTTAGTTTAAATTCTATGTAGATAGATTTTATTGCTTATGTAGCACAAACCGATCAGACCTCTAATACAAATTAAAAGTTCAACATGGTTCATACAAATAAGGAAACTACGTCTATAATTAAAAAACTTCGAAGGATTAAAGAAGTATCAGGGAGGTGGGGGGCTTACCTAAACCTTGCTTTAAAACTTGCTGGTTTATTCGGTTTTTTTTTTATTATTAAAATTAAGACTAACACTTCGAATATATAGGGAAGAGGATTATTATGCTATTAGGCTGAACTTGATATTAGGATCAATTGTTAAATTTAACGAAGACATGCATCTATACTTTGCAATTAAATTTACAATTCTATTTGTTTATTCGTAAGTTCTTAATTCATAGAATTTGATTAATCAGTCTTTTAATAATTACTTTTGCCAATCTACTTGTATTTTAAATGTCGATCCATTCATGTTGAATCATAGATTCTTCAAAAAAGCCGCTCCCTCTTTTCCCCTTATTACGCTGTCTACAGGAAAGATATCGGTTAAAATTCTGTAAGTTTGCCTTTTGGGTATAAACGCAAGATATGAGACTATCGGATGCGGCTTTATTGACCAGTTTCGTCTTAATAGAAATAGAAATGATTGATTAAGCATGGATGACTGAATTATGACACTCTATTAGAATATCATAATCTGATTAGTGGACAGGTAATTATGGACAGCTCTCCATGTATTTCACGTCATACTTTTGTGTTGCGGACCTAATCAAGTTCCCAGTTGATGGTTTCTCGGCCACCGTCATTAGTGTGTCATACTTGTTGGGGTTTTTCACTGAACGCTTTTAATAAAATCCAAAAATTAAAACTGTGCACAATTTCAAACATCATTTTGATGGAATTATCTTTTCCAGTTCGTTATCAGTACAGTTGGCAAAAAATTGACTTTATATGGTTAAGATAAGTGCCAAATCATATCACATATTTTTCAGAGGTGCATGATAAGATAAATTAGATAGATAGATGTGTTAAATTTCGGAAAATTTTACAGTGATTTCGTATCACTATTAATTTAAAGAAAAAAAAAAAAAATACGCCCTATTTTTTAAAAATATATAGTCTGATTGAATTCAGAAACGGAAAATTGTTTACAAGTCTGTGCAAACTTAAAGGACTAGTATATACGAATAGTAATTCGTTGTAGAATTCGTCCCCTTACTGATATCAAGCACCATTTTATAGTATATATGTACATATATAGAGATGCATTCAATATATTTTCTAAGGGTATAGCTTTTTCGCTCCTCATTTCACACTTACAAAATGCCGAAAATCCTGCACTGAAATGTGGGTCCCCCGGGAAGCCGGCGAAGGGCAGAGTCGGTATTGCAGCGGCACTCGGAGTTGAGGCTGTTATTTGGGTCGTTGAGCTGACGAAACTGTGCTTGTGGATATCCGTTGAAGGCGTTGCATATATATCATAGCTGGGGAAGCCGACTATGGAGACGCGTTCGTCACTGATCGAAATATCGGGCGAGGACACACTGCCACCGTCACTCTGGTAGGGCGTATCACAGGTGGGCGGTTTGTGGGTCCCCACATCGATGTCAACATTTTCACTGTTACGCGTCTCAAGATGCCCGTAGAGGCGTTCGAAGAACTGGCGCGGCGACGAGGGGCGTTGGGGCGTAGGCACGATCGTGGTTGTTGGGGACTTGGCAACAGGGCCTATTTGTGTTAGGCATTGCGCGGATTGTTGTTGTTGCTGTTGCTGTTGTTGCAAGTGCAGCATTTTGTGAACTAAGCCGCGAGCACTTGGATGAACCGTTATTTATGCTTGAGCTGAGACTAATAACTGGACTAATCACTTGTGTAATCGACGAGCAACTAAAATTTGCGTTACTTCCGATGCAGCCCAAAAGCGGCTGACAGTTTTCTGTTGGTCAAGCAGCGCTACCTTATCCTGCAGTAGCAGCAAAAAAAAACTATGTTCAAATTATGCGCCACATTAAATTAACAGCCAAAGCGCTTAAAAAATGTGATGAGAAAAAAACACTGGGCGCCACACCTGCAGGAAACTCTTAGCTTGCCGTTGATTGGTTGTCGCTGCAAAGCAACCCTTAAACAACTCGTTTGGGGTGCGAAGGATACTATAAAAATAAGCACCGCCCCTTTGAAATGCTAACAACTGTTGCCTACACCATCATACCAGAGCTTCTGTACCGCAGTTGTGTAGCAGGCAGAACTCAAGCGACTGCACTAACTAAGCAGCTGATGTAAAAGCTCAAAAACAATAATATTGGCCTTCTTCCGAGGAAGTGGCAGCATTGGCATTGCATGGCCAATTGGGGACCAGTTAAAAACGCGATGGTCCCCAGGTAAGACGCGTCACCTGATTGTGCGGCTTCGAAACTCAGTGTGAGGGTTTGCAAATCGTTATGAGCGCGTGCGTTCGCATTTATATACATATGCGTGTGTGTGCGAACTGTGAAAGTAAAAATTAAAATAAATTAAATTAGCAACAAACACAATAACCAAACCCAAACCAGCCGCTGAACCGCACCAAAGTGTGCGCTATTTTGTTGCCCTGTGAGTGTATGTGTGTGTGTGTTAGCCTATAGTGAGAAATTCCAAGAACAAACTGCTCCAAAGATGTCAAACAATCAGCGTAGAGTGCGTACCATTGATTACGTCGCACTACAAGGCAGACGACTGCCGCCATCGTCGCCAACATCGCCGCCGCTATCTATAAATCAGCAACAAGAAGACCCCACAACAGCTCCGGTGACGACGACAGTAACAGCAGAAGCAGCAGCAGCAGCAGCAAAACCAACAACAACAAACACGCAGCTGCCTGTGCTGTGTCGCGAGCTTAGTGTAGACGATGATGTTGCAAGGTTTGTTTAAATATTTAATGATAAAATAATTATAAATTCATCAAGCAATCTCAACAACACAGCAGCCGGCATTGTGAAATGTTCAAAAAGGGTTTCTTCAAAACCACCACCCCCATCATGGTTTAAAAGCAGCCATTGATAAGTTAGTGTGTTAGTGTTGGTGTTTTAGTTCCACCGTGTGTTTGTAGTTGTATCTGTGTGTGTGGTGTGTGTTTATAAGTGAGAGCACTAATGCCTTGGCTGCTTTCCTCTCGCGCATTTCACAATTTTATTGTAAAAACGTAAACAACGTGTTTTTAATTTATTTCTTTTTGTTGCATTGGCGTTTTCCCTTTTTGGTCGTTTGCTTTCGTGCCCAACGAACCCGGCTCCCATTTGCTCCCCCCTTTACGAAATTGCAAGGCAGCAGCAAAAATTGAAAAACGTTACCTGAAATTTAACACTTTCGGGCACAACAGAAAAAATGGCAATCAAGAAATTAAAGCACAGATAGTTACACACATACATACATACGCTGCAGCGCAATTATGTTCCTACATATGTTTCCATACATATCTACACAAGTTTGTCTGTATACAGTGGTACACGACCCATTGGCTGCAGCTTAAAATTGTGATGAAATCCGCAAGTCAATCATTCAATCAAAATTGTGCTGAAGCCTAAGTGAAGTGTATCAATCAGTCAATCATTCCACCAGTCTATAAGTCAATCACTTGCCAACTCGAACAGCCAATCAAAATGGTGATGAAATCCGTCAGAGTATCTGTACATCATGCCATCAGTCCACAAATCTATTTAACAATCAATTCTAATTCAATCGCACCATTTTTCTATTCGTTTTTCAATACATTGATCAATCAGTCAATCATTTTATGAATCTCTTAGTATACTAATTTAGTAATACATACGCTGTCAATAAATTACTAAATGAACCTGCCTATCTATCATGCACTATAATATTCATTTTTTGTGCTATCTAGGTACAACGAATCCGATCTCTATTATAAATTATATGTTTTAGCTTTAATATATTTCACAGATATCAAGTAACTAGCCGATGTATTTTTGTCAAAAACTGAGCTTAAATCCAAGTCGTTACTTTCCGTTTCTGTGCGCTTAGCATTGATCGTTCACTAAAATCCTTAAGTATAAAAAAAGGAGAGAGCTCTGACATGTTAACATGTAATTGAAATCCTGTAGCTTTTCTCTTATGTGAAAAAATTTGTTAACAGCTTTATTTGTGAATTGTAATCGTCTGTCACATGAATGGCCACAATGGGATTATGTTGAAAGCTCAGTGAAATGAGATCGAACCTACTGTACGTATTTGATGTGTCTGTGTAGAGTCGTTCAACATTTATCATAGCGTTTTCAGTTTACTTTTTTGTTATTTTGGCTGCGCGCGTTCCTTTCAAGATATGGCTGATAACGCCGACTTTTGCCTGATAAGACATAAGGTATACTCACACCCGTACACACATGGCTAATATACTTACATATGGATGTATGTATGTAGGTATACCGTTCATTTGTGACTTTTGGCATTGATTCGCATGGTGTGCTTATTCATGCATTTCCTCTTTTTGCTTTTGCGTGTATCTAAAAATTTTCCGAATTGTGTGTTGCGTGAGGCATGTTTCCATAGAAATTTTCGCACGGCTAATTCAAATATTCGCATGAAACTGTGCTCGGATATAATCGTAAATTTTAGTGCTTTGACAGTTTTAGTCAGTCTCGTCAGTATCGCCACCTGCCCACCACCCATTGAATCTTAAGTGAAATTAATTTGCTTGATTTGTTCTTCTTTTCTGTTGTCGCCATCGTCGTCGTTGTTTTTTCAGTCTCAGTCGCGTTGTCATCGCATTCTGGGGCTTTTTGATACCAGTTTGTTATGGATCGCGGGGCCAATGGCGGGAGCTATTGAAATGCCTCTTCAAGTTAAAACGCGTTTAATACGTGCGCTCGTACATTCCGTTTTGTAACCTCTTTCGTTATTCGTTATACATGCGGCAACAACGTCAACGTCAACATCAACATGAACGCCAACGAAAGCACCGACAACAAATTTTGTTTTGAAATCAAATTCGCTTTCTTCTCAAATTTCCAGCTACGCGACTAACTGCTACTTTACTCACAGCTTTTCACGTTGTCAAAGAACCAAATGAATGAAATTCCTTCCCGAAGGTCTTGGGTTGTCACAAACAGACAGACAAAGTGAGGCCATGCGGCATCGGTGTGGCCGCTCACGTAGACCTCACTCGCAAGTGTGAAAGATTGAGTTTGCCGCATTTCTCTGCTGCTCAAGAGCTTGTAAACAAGCGCCGAAACTACGCTGAACAATCAAACTTTAAATTCGACCTTTACGAATGAAACTAAGTTTAAAATAAAATTAAATGCAGTACCTTAAAAGTTTGCAACGAGCTATTGTTATTTGGGTATTTTTTTGTGCACACGAAGAGCCACTTTTTTGAATGACTCAGCAAAAAGGCTCAAATTACAAATCAACAGAAGGGGCGTAGAACTTTAGCTACAAGTATAAAAGTTGAAAAGTAAATGTAGTGATTTAATTACTTACTTGAAAATGTCTGTTCAGCTGAAGCCCTAATGCCTGAGATAGAAAGTTTTGGTCAAGCGATATTTTGACTTTAATTTTTAATTTATTTCTACTGGATATTTATATTGCTATCCATAATTTAAAAATTTCAGTGCATCCTTTTCCACAATATTCTATCTGACGCAAATAAGCTCCTTAGGTGCTTATACAAGCCTGTCAATGGCTGCTGAAATTTTAGTGCAATGAAATATTCATTCAATATTCAATGTGAGGGCGCATTATTTGCCAAAGATTATTTATCGATTCGATTAACATCCGGGTAAAATTTGATCAGACTATTTTTGGTTCTATTGTATGAACATACATATATTATATCGGCCAATTCAATTGAGATTTTCATTTAAGTAAAAGATTGCCTGCTCAAGTAAATAATAAATACAGTTTATTGAAAAGTATTTTTCAAGCATAATGGTTGATTCTAAATGTATAGTATTACAAATAATATTTTTGAAGTTTTAAAATAGTAAATAGTCGCTAATAATAAACGTTTCGTCGAAGAAGAAGATATACTAGATCATGAATCAGATTAAGTTGAAGATATCAAATTAAAGTGCATAATGAAATCATATTGATGTGGACCCAAAGGCACTGTTTGTTCTGTAAGTCAGTCAATAAATGGATAGATAATTATAATGTTAATACAGAAATATAGAAAAATTGATTTATTTGCGTTTCTTTATCAACTTGATGTTAGGTCGATTGATAGATTTCATATAAAGGAAGCAGGGAAAGCGGAAGCTGTAAATACTCGCTCATCGATTTTTTTAACCGCACACTTTTTGGCTAATCAGGCAGGGACCCAATAATTGATAAGCAGCGGAATGTCAGGCGGCCAAATAATCGCAAATACATATGTATATACATATATACATTTATAGCCAAATATATTTCCGCGTGTGTTTGTCCACTAACACATGCAAATAAAGCGCAAACACACGCTTATTAATGCCAACTATATAGAAATTCTCATTGGGGTACGTACTATACTCGTACATATATTTCCATCCATCGCGCCGTAGACATTAAACAGAGAATTATGATTTTTTAAAAATACGAACTCAGATGTTTACAAACACATCGGAATGTGAACAAGTGCGTACGGATGTATATAATTGTATAAATAGTTGAAATTTAAGAATGTTTTTCTTCGACTAGTTTGTCGGAACTGAATATGAAACATACGTTTTTTTGTAAATTATTTGGATAGATAAATGACTTATTAGCTTTCGGTAAATTGAAAATCATGGCATACTCGTGCTTCTGAATATAAATAATCATGTTCAAATGATTAATAATTCATTGTTCTTAAAAGGGCGTGCAAGAGCTCTTTCGCTATTTGTCTGAAAGACAAAACATATGACAAAACCCTTTACATCAAAACCGAAATGTTTGCTGAGTTCTGTCGAATATCATAAAAGAATCGAGTACCATTTAATGTTTTTAAATTTCCACTGCTCCTAAATGCATTTGAAAACCAAACGTATTGATTTGCATATTATGTGATTTATTTTATTGCAATTGCAATTTCAATTGCAAACATTTAATGGAACCTTCAAAAGGTTTATTTATTGGTGACGTTTATAGAATATAGAACAATTACTCAAACGCCCTATTAATAAATCTTGTGTGCGTCAATATCACATTTTCGTACTTCTGCAGGGCTTTGCATAGCCACATTCAAACTGTTTGCTACTCTACCTTAGGAATACAAGTATTTCCCACGTCAACAAGTCGCAGTAATCCTCGCATTTCTTCACTATAGTATTATGATTCATACGGCATGTGCACGTGAGCTGTTTTTTGCGGCACTTTGTTCCTAAAGTGGTTGAGTAGCAATATTTACTTTAGTGCTTTGCATTTAGCGCCACTTCTTATTTATCGTCTTCCGCTATAAAATTATCTATTACCTCTCTTCAGCGTTGTTTGCATTTCTCCAAAACTAAAGATAAAAACAACGAGTTAAGCAAATGTGTTGAAAATTGCATACACTAAGATGGAAAAATGGTGAAAAGATGATCGAAGTGATGCTAGAGCAATATAAATAGATCTATTCAGATAAGGGATAAGCCAGCATAAGAAATTTTAAATAACATATTTTGAATGAATTAGTGTTAGAGATCGACAGTGCCTTTAGTGTGCTTTGGCACAAACAGACATCTAATTAAATATTTCAAATTTAAAATATTTAACGCTCGTTTTTTAAAAATATGAATTAATAATAACTATTGAATAACTAGAAGGCAGCATTATAAATGTTGCGTTGCAAAGATTGCTATTGAAAAGATTCGGTATTACATTTGGAATCAAGGTCATTGTAAACCAAACTTCTATTCCAATTATATTGCTTAATAACATAAATTAACTAAAAATGCGTATACGCTTCGTTGGCCATAAACTTTTATTAGTTATAAATATCCCTCTGCCCACTAGGCTTAACTTATGTACGTGTGATAAACGGACCACCACGTTGTGGTGTTTTTGCAGCATCCGCACATATATACATACATTTGAGTAGTATATACACCTGCATATACTGGCAGTTGCTTAGCGGTATTACTTGTATTAATATCAGCGACACACATAATAAAATGTAATATTTTAAATGAACTGTTGCTGTAATTATAGTAGAGAGCACAAACAGCAGAAAACGAGAGAGAAGGTTACCGTCAAGCAGGCATGACTGTAAAATACCCTGCACGTGGAAAAACACTTCCACCGCTGCGTGACTGTATGTGCATCAGAAGAAGAAGAATGGAACTGCTTAAATTAAATAGGACAGATTACATACCAAGATTACATTGTATTTCTCTGGTCACGCAGTTGAAAAATATATTTAGTTATGGAGTCGGATATGCTTCCATTTGACGGTTACATTTAAAACATTTGTACAAACATAATAATACATTGGATTTACCCGTCGGCTGCAGGGTATGAAAAGCAATGAATCGTTAACATTAACGTTAACATCATTACGTTCCACAAAAACGCCACAGCCGGCGATGAAACGTTTCTCTGCTCTGCGCCACCCACTGTAAGTGGGATCTGTGCGCTCACCATACGCCGCTCTCTGTTTGCTCTCTTGCTCTCTCCTGGAGCACGCAATTGTGTGTGCGTGTGGGGGACAATTTGTTGGCATTTTTTGCGCTCCACTCAACAATTAGTTGGTCGCGCTTGGCTGTGCGCTGCAGTCGACTGTTGTCGGCATTTCGACATCGTGTTTATAGTATATATAGTATAGGTATCGGCTGACTATATAGTATTCGCAGTTCAGTTGCCCGCTACTGCTAGGGGTACACTTTTCTTGTCATATTTTTGTTGAAGTGCTAATAAATTGAATAGCAGTCACCGCGTTTCGATTCGCACGACAATAGCCGCGTCAAGTGTTTGGAGCTCTGGCTTGAATTCCATTTCGCGTTCAATCGCGTCTGTTTGCATTACGAAATTATGAAAGTGGGGAGCGATTTAGAAGCCTTTGAACCTTGGGTAGCTATCCAACAATAGCCCAACTAAGTCAATAGATAAAGAAATAAATTCAAAATTAATAGCCAGTGTCCGTGTCCGACTCATCGCTCGTTCGCTTGCGCGCCTCCCGTCTAAAGTTCTACATTATTATAATTATTTGTCTGCTGTTGCCGATGCCGCTTCTTCTTCTTGCTCGTCATTTCGTATTATTTATTGTCGCAGTCTCAACGTGCAACATGTGGGGCTCTCTGGGCGTGTGTTTTCCTTCTATTTATTTGTACTTAAAATGTGCATAAATTTTGCCAGTGTTACACGCATTTATAATGTAAATTGTATCAGTGAAATATGTATCTCGTGTTTTTTAAAGTGCATATACGTATGTGACGATTTGAAATCGTAAAACCCCTTGCTGGCGCATAAAGTACAGTTCAATTATCAGCAGCAAGCAATAGAATTTTATCGTTCAGTTACTGTGCCGCGCTCAACAGTTTTAAAGCCATAGTTCAACTGTGATGCTTGGACCGTCTGTTTTCTAAAAACAGATAAAAAATTGCTAAAATTCAATACAACAGAATGCGACGCAAAAAGTAAGTTTATTATGGATTAACCCATTAATTAGCAAATAAATAATTCGGTAATTTAGGTACCAATTCAAAATGGTTTCATAAAAGGCCTCATAAAATAATAGATAATGTTATTAATCCATATTATACGTATCCATATGGCCTCAACTACAATTCTATTTAGACCGTATTGTTGAGTATCGAGAGTAGGGGCTGGTTTTCATAGCTAGAGCGCTATTGCCCATTTTAACATTTTGTGGATTTCAATACGTTTGCTGAAATTACGATTTTTCAAAATTTAATATGAAATATCCACTCTCAAAAAATATATATATAGTAACTGCATGACAATATATCTGATGAATAGGAAATAATTTTTGATGCTGTTTCTAATTAATAAACAATAATAATTAAGTTGATATCGCTTTTATCATGAATATTGATTCAGGAATTCATTTCAAACTTACTTAAAATGCAGTCTAATATTTAATCTTCTCTTATTATATCTTCTGTGAATGTTTATATCTTATCTTCTTACATAAATCGCACTTATGGGTGGAGGGCTATCCAACCTCTTAGGACTTTGTATATGAGAAATCCAAGTGTTAGTTGGTTGAAATTCCAATAGAGTCTGATGAAATAGCTGATGAACACAAAATTTAATGGGCGGGGGTGTAGTGTTGGTCGGCACACGCGTCAATCACATTACAGTTGTCAATTATTATTTTATTTAGTATCATAATGCCGTGATCTGCAGCTGTATAAATCAAATCTGGGCAGAAATTAAAGCATAATTATAGGCGTGACAGCCGGCTGTCTGAGGCAAATAGGCGAAACGAGATAAGATAGGATAGCACCATGAGTTAAAGGGCCGTTATCGGCTGCACGCCCACCGCCAGTCCACCTGCCCGCCCACCACCTGCACCGACGGGCATTAGAGTGAGTTTTTTTATTGTTTGCATAGCTTATCGGCGATTAATGAAACAATTAGGGCAGACCCATGGACTATCACGTTCGAATGCATGCTGTCTGCTGACCGAAATGAATAGATATAGAGCCATATAAAAACGATGCATATTATTTTTACTTGCAGAGTGGAGTTTCGCGTCAAGCAGACGCCCTCGCGACCCGTGCAGATGTCCAATTATCGCACTGCAGCAGTTGATGAGGACATTGATACGCTGCACCCGGACGATGAGTTGGCCGCACACTATGAGGAGCTTGGCACAACGCCCCCTCGTACACGACTCAAGATCAAGAATCGCGACTGGAATCGTTCGCAGAAGGCCCACGGATCGGCCGCTGTATCTGTGTAAGTATCATTATAGATTTATAACTAGGAACAGAAACCAAAGCTCCAAAAGATATCGTCGAATTCAAAGGCAAAACAAATGCCTCTGTTGGTTTGATAATGTAACAAGTGATTAGATTTCAACTCAGTCCAACCCCAACAATGTTATCTGTATCTATGTAAGCTTACAAAAGTAAGATATAGTTAATATCAAAGTATTTTGTGAGGGTTTTTCAAAAAGATTGAGAGGTGTATAAGTAGTGATATCTTTTCCAACGATCTTTCAAAGTCCTCGAATTACGTGTTTATTGAGATCGAATTTACGTCCGTAGCCTTGTTAGAGAGCAGGAATAAGTCGAGCAAGTACAGTAGATTCAGCAGCAATTCGACATTTTTTTGGGCTTGCGACAGTTACTTATTGATATAGTGATTGGTGGCCAAGCATAGAACCAATTGGGCCCACACCCTTCTCGCACTTAAGCTAGTGTTAATTGGCGTTTCGTACGACACGCTCCAGCCTCTGTTACTTTGCGAATTTTAGTTTGGCAATAGGCGAGAAAAATTTACTCGACAACCACATCTACCGGTTCCCTTTTTATTGACCCCGCCAAAAGTTAAACAAGTTAATAAAATAGAATAAACAAAAATGGAAAAAAATCGTAGATTCATGATGCAGTCCTAAAACAATGCTGTAAGAGTGGTCATAAAAAAATGTCAAACTGTCTTATGGCCAAAGGTGCAAGGCGATTTACAATAAAATAATAATAAATAAAACGTATGTACATTGAGGATTCGTCTGTATTGCTTAAGATCCCTTTACAATTGGCCTAAGACAGTTAAACTCGTCGTGAGGACTCCGAAGCACTAACCGAATGTAATTGCAAAATTGCAGTAACAAATTCAAAGAATTACGGGATTTATGGAGAATGGTTTGAGTCTATATAAGAGTCGAGCCCACTCTATTATAAGTAGAATTCCTTTCTTGCTTTAAACCTGGCTTTGGTTTACTGTTTTGACATTTTGTTTGTCGTTTCAATTGCAGGGAGTGGGTTTTCGCTATGGTTATGTATGTAGAATCTAATGCTTCGCCTTTTATAGCTCAACGGATGTGGGAGGCACTGGAGCAGGTGGTAGTGGCACGTCCAAGAAGGGCATGTCGCGTATGGCGCGCTCTCGGGTGCTCCGGCGGAACACCATGGACTGTGCACTGCTCAACGAGATGTTTGTGAACGACGAAAGCAAGCGGACGGACAAACGACTGCAGTCCCTATTGCGCGACTCGGAGCGCGAGTTGAAGAACTCGTTGGCCGGCGGTGTGGTGGTACAACCTCGAGTTTCCAGCTTTCATGAGGGTGCACATCCGCTGGAGTCGCTCGACAAGATAATGCCGCTCAATTCGGAAGTTCCAGAGTTGACAGCGTCTACAACGCCGCTACGCCTTGCCTCCAAAGTAGTGGAGAGTTGCAGTCGCTATCGCTGTGTCTCCTCCCGACCCATTGGCTGTCGTTCCTCGGCGCCACCACAAGCTTTTACCCCACAGCTTCCGATACGCGGCGATGGCAAACAGACGCCGGGTCTGACGAAGCGACGCGACTTTCATGAGACATTTGCCAATCTTATAAAACTGGGCAGTGTCGATAGGCAGGACGCTAAGCTATCGCAGGAGGAGCACACCTGGCAGACGGAGCTAAAGGATCTCATTTGGCTGGAGCTGCAGGCCTGGCAAGCGGATCGCACGGTCGAGCAGCAGGACAAGTATTTGTTCGAGGCGCGGCAGGGCGTCTCCGATTTGCTCACACAGATCATAAGCTACAAATTCAAACCGCGCTACCGGCGCGAGCTTAGTCAACTAAGTCTGGACAGCGGCATACACTCGGAGGCCAGTTCCAATGCTAGTTGTAAGTAAAGAACATCTCTAGTCTGACCAGATTTACTAATTTTTTGATCGCTTGCAGCTCCTCTGCCCACCAAAATTTGTCAGGGCTGCATGTCTCTCTACTGCAAGGATTGCATGGAACAACAGGAGTTTGCCTTACGTGAAGTTGAGGATCTGCTGACGCGCCTAGAAGCTGTTGAGGCTTTGTATCCCTCCTCACAGGCGATGGGTTCGCTGCATCCCATATACAAATCGCAAAGCTTCGTGGGTCGCATAAAGTCCATGTGCTTGTGGTATAACATAACTAAGCAGAACAAATTGAAGCTCAGCATTCTGGGCAAGATACTGGCACGGTAATTGAAAAAATGCACTCCGTTGGAAAGGACTCTTATATTTGATTTTGTCCACAGCCTTCAGGGGGAGAAGTTCTCATGGCCAGTGCAAACGTCCTACATAGGTACGGATAGTGGCAATTCGTCTGCATCGGGCGTGGAGAATGAGGATCTTATGGCCAGCTCAATTGACTCTGCGAAGCCTCCCAGTGTAGTGAGTAATGGACAACGTAAGGCCTCGGGTGCTACGCCCTGCCCTAGCGTGCGTTTTCTCCTGAACGATGCGACCCACCAGCCGGGCGAGTCGTCCAGCAGCAACGAGTGAGTAAATTAAAATCATAATTATTTAACCTGATACATAATCTGCCCACAATATTCGAAGATCTACCTCGACCGAGATAAGTCAGATGTCTAATGACTGTCCGCACTCGCATCTGCGGAAGGGTTCCATGCATGACATCAACATTTTCAGTGTGGAACCGCTAGGAACCTTCGGCAATGACTGCAATGGCGAGCAGTCGTCAGCGCTGTACCGAAAGTTCATTGAGAATGTGTTGAAGTCAAGAGGCTTGGCGAAGTCTTTGGCATTCCTGCACAAGCTTCACAATGTGGTGCTGTATAAGGCGCATATAGCACTGGAGAAACCGGGCACTGAAGACTTCGACTTTGATTTGGAGGCACTGGAGAAAGATGTGCCGCGCCTAGATCCAGAAATAAGTCACGAGCAGGTGGTCGAGCTACGCACTTATGGCTACTGGAGCGAGGAGGCGCAATCAATAAATTTGCCCTCGTACATTCCGACTTTTGTGTTCCTGAGCGGCATTCCCTTACAGTTCATGCATGAGTTCCTGCGCATGCGCCTCGAAACGCGACCCGTCAAGCCGAATCCCTTGAGTCTCGAGCAGCTCATGAAGGAGTTGCGCGAGGGTCTGACACTGGCCCTGACCCATCGTGAGCGCTACCAGCGACACATCACCACAGCACTGGTGGAGAACGAGACAGAGTTGGGCAACTACATCAGCATACTGAATCACTATGACGCCACAGTGCGCAAGGTGTTTGAACTGTATCTGGACTACATTGATCAGCTGGTGCTGGTGGCCGTGCCAGAGACAAATCAAAAGTCGGTGCTAGAGAAGGAGTGGATGTTCACCAAGCTCATCAGCCCCATGATCAAAGGCATGCACACGTTGGCTTCCCAAAAGTTTTGCTGCATTATTAGCAAGCTGTTGCGCAACATCTCATCGCGTCTGGTGCAGCGCTCTACTGAGCTGGATCAGCAGATAGCTGTGACAGCGAAAAACAACGATTCCGAGGAGCTTAAGTGGCAGCTGCTCACCATTTGTCGAGAGACGCAGTCGCTGCTTACCGTGGAGCGGGAGCGTTCCATCAAGGTGCTCTTCTTTGCCAAAACCTTTTGCCGTGATGTCGAGACTACAGATTTCCATCGTGAGCACTACGAACACGATGTGGCTAATCATCAGCATGATTTCATCTGCTCAGACGTGAAGGCAGCCTTCAAGCTGCTTCAGCAGGATGTGCTTGAGGTGCGCAACAAGCTGACAGAGATAATTGAAGGTGTGCAGGAGCGCTGCTGTATGGAGAACATGCGCGACTTGGACGAGCAGGATCGTCTGGCGGTGTTATCGCGTACTCGCGAAATTCTACACCAAGGCTACAAATTTGGCTTCGAGTACCATAAGGATGTGATACGATTATTCGAGCAGCGAATCATGGACCATAAAGACAGCTCGTATACGGTAGATCTGGCGCTAGGCATCATTGCATACGCCAAGATGTGGATGCGCTTTGTAATGGAGCGTTGTGAACGCGGACGCGGCATGCGACCGCGTTGGGCCTCTCAGGGCCTCGAGTTTCTTATTCTCGCCTGCGATCTTCAGATCACACAGCATTTGGACGATCGTTCCGTAAGTGAAAGCCACAAAGCTAGATCAAATCAAAGCTGTTGAATTTCAAACTAGCTAGTAATGTAAATTAAAAACTATTGTCCAAATTCTTCATATCTGGGTCTCTATAGTATATTTTGAAAGCAGCAGCATAGATGGATCTTGGATTAGATTTGATTTAATCAATGCATTTTTCCCAATCTTACAGTTCGAGGAACTGAAACAGCAAATGGATCGGTGTATTTCGCACGTGATTGGTATTACGTCGGAGCCGGAGAAAATGGCGCGGAAGAAGGCCTCGCCACGGACGCGAAAAACCTCGTCGCCAGCCACTAGTCGCTCACGCACACCCACACGCACGCCCATGTCGGCTGGTGTGATTGTCAATCCGAACACGCCACCGCTGCAATCACCACAGTACAACAAACTTCTGCATCCGCAGTTCAGTCTGAAGGAGGAGATGCTTCAACAATCCGGGAGCTATGGTCCTACAGACACCCCCGACTATGTGGAGGCGCCGCACAGCAATGGCAGCAATGGCGAGCTACGGCTGGTAGTGCCGCAGACTCCAACGTCGTCGGCGTCTAGTACGAAGAGCAGCACGCCAGCCACAGCGGGATATGAGGAGTCAACACCATTGGCGTTGCGTCAGGAGCGCGTACGGGACGCTGTCAATCGACTGGACATGGATCTGGAGGAGCGCAGACGCGAGCGACGACTTATCGGTCAGGTGAAGGTGAATGCCTGTGATAAGGTGCAAATTCGAGCTCGCAGCGTACACTTCCGCTGGCATCGCGGCATCAAGATTGGTCAGGGGCGCTTCGGTAAGGTCTACACAGCTGTAAACAACAACACGGGCGAGCTAATGGCCATGAAGGAGATCGCCATACAGCCGGGAGAGACGCGTGCGCTCAAGAATGTGGCCGAGGAGCTGAAGATTCTCGAGGGCATTAAGCACAAGAATCTGGTACGCTACTACGGAATAGAGGTGCATCGCGAGGAGCTGCTTATCTTCATGGAGCTCTGCTCTGAGGGCACTCTCGAGTCACTGGTGGAGCTGACTGGAGTGGGCTTGCCCGAGGGACTGTCCCGCCGTTTCACCGCGCAATTACTTTCCGGTGTGGCCGAGCTACACAAGCACGGCATCGTGCATCGCGACATCAAGACTGCAAACATCTTTCTGGTCGATGGCAGCAACAGTTTAAAATTGGGCGATTTTGGTTCGGCTGTAAAGATTCAGGCACACACCACAGTCCCAGGCGAACTGCAGGGCTACGTGGGTACCCAGGCGTACATGGCGCCCGAAATGTTTACGAAAACGAATAGCGATGGTCATGGTCGAGCAGCCGATATCTGGTCGGTGGGCTGTGTTGTCGTTGAAATGGCCTCAGGCAAGGTGAGCTGATTAGACTCGAAACAATAACTGGTTTATTAATTGTGCTTATCTTTACAGCGGCCGTGGGCACAGTTTGATTCTAATTTTCAAATTATGTTCAAAGTCGGCATGGGTGAGAAGCCCCAGGCACCGGAGAGCCTTTCGCAGGAGGGTCACGACTTTGTCGATCATTGTCTGCAGCATGATCCCAAAATGCGTCTCACGGCCATCGAGCTGCTGGAGCAAAACTTTTGCAAGGTGAGTCGAGAACAAGGCGAGCAAATATTTTAAATATAATAAAAGATTCCATTCAATTATGGAACTTAAGCAATTATGTTATTGGAATGAGAATAAACGAAGTAAAGTTAATAGCTCTTTATTATAATGTAGAGGAAAAGCTGCTATATAAATTAAATTATTGAATTCCACTGGTATCCACAATAACAATAAACAAATTTTAAAAAGTAATATGGAATGCTTAAGCTTGTAGGTAGTTTTCAAAAATCGGTGTTCGAAAAGAAATGTGATTTTTGACACTTACATAATACATATAAGACAATAAAGCCGGATTCAAACCAAAATTACTACCTACTATGATGAAACTTGGCAAACGATCACATAATCACTAAGTGGAAGTTTTGCAAAAATTTGTTTTAAATTCCAAGAGAAAGGGAGTTATGAAATGTCACTAATAGTGGGAGGGAAGAGAAACAGTTTGAAATACACTTGTACTTCCTACGCATACAACTATCGTCTTCGAGTTCTAGGTGATTGTCGAAACGAAGTTTGGGAAAATCCCATATAGAAGGAGATTGTGGGAAAGGGTGACTCAAAACAAGTAAAAAAGCTAAAGTCGGGTGTTCCGACTTTGAAATACTCTGTACATATGCTTACAATAATTATAGAAAATAAAAAAAATTAAGAAAATAAAAAAATTTTTGATCCATTTTACCTTTCTCGGTATTCGAACTCACGTAAATGGTGTATAATTGCACATTTACTTAGCAATTGCGTCTGTGTGAGTGTATGTATGCCTATGCACATCTATTCGTGTCTGTATAAAAATGTTAGCAGTCAACCAAACAGCAACATCAACAGCCGCGGGCAGCGCTTGAGCAACGCTGCAGCAGCAAATATATTTATGGCTATAACTTCTCTGTAAATCGGTCTATCATGCTAAAACTTGGCGTTCGGACACATAACAACTAACTGAAGGTATTTGCTAAGGTTAAGTTCGAAATTCCAAGAATTACGGGAGTTAGAGAAAATCGCGATTTGCATGGGAGAGGGGGGAGGGAGGGGAATTTCAAAATACACATTTTCTGCGTATTCACACAAGGCATCTGGGACTAAAATTGTGTGTTCCTAGGTCTTATAGTCTCCGAGATATAGGCGATTATACGAATGGAAAATCGGGAAAACCCCCATAGGGGGGAAGTGGGGGGAAAATAAAAAAAAAAAACAAACTCGTATAGCGTACACACATAAGGCATTGGTGTCTCTAGCTCTTATAGTCTCTGAGATCTAGGTGATCATACGGACGGACGGACAGACAGACAGACAGGGCTAGAATATATATACTTTGTGGGGTCTGCCACGCCTCCTTCTGCCTGTTACATTTTTTAGCTCGCGCAAACCTAATATACTCTTGTACATTTCATGTACAGAGTATAAAAATATAATAAACTTGAACAGTCTACACACATAAGGCATATGGCAAAGGTGTGCATTTGGTGTCTCTAGCTCTTATAGTCTCTGGGATCTAAGTGTTCATACGGACAGACAGACAGGGTTAAATGGACTGGTCTTGTCATGCTTGTTACATTTTTCACTTGTCCCAAATCTGCCATACTGTGCTGCCCTTCCGGTTCAGAGGATAAAAAGGAAACTAACGCCGTATTAATAAATTATTATTAGACTCTTAATGTTAACTTCATGTTAAAACTGTGCGAAACGGTTAATTGCTTAATTACTCTGCGCACATATTTTATTTTTCATTTTGCAATTAAAGCACCTTTTTACGAATAAGAAACATAGGATAGTATAGGTATTTCTTATATCCCATCTGGTGTTCAATAGATCCCAAATTATAACAATATTCCTGAAATTCTAATAATGGAAATGCTTCCTTCTTTACAGTACGGGCGAGATGAAGAGTGCGTCAGCGAACAGTTGCAGGTTCAGGCCCAGATGCGAGGCTCCTTTCGACGCAATGCGGCTCAAAGCTAACAAATGCCACTCGAAGAGCCCGTTGATGTTAACATATATGGGCTCATGTGTGCGTTGTAGAGCTGCAAAAAGAATCGATTCAAAATCGATCTAATCGATGTTTACAATCTTTGCTAAAAGTCGTTTTGTTTTTGGAAAATCAACTAATCGTATAAAGTCAAATGCATACTTGAATTGGCATATCATTACGTGAATGTGACGCTGATAATGTATGATCTCACCGAAAATGACTATAAAAATTAATGATGTTCACTTAACGATTAATCGATTTTATTTTCGAAAGAAGTACATCGATTATTTTGCAGCTCCACTACGAAGTACTATATGAGAGATGCCTATATTATATACTTAGGCAGCGTGTAGTTTTAATGTCGGACAATAAATAAACCACGTATATAAATTTAAATAATTTATGCACTTTTCATTTTATTTTCCACCTTGTTCAATTTGATCCATTTAAAATGATTCCGATTTTTGAACTCTTTAAGGGTAGATGGGATAAGCAGTTGAAATCGTTGGTACAGGCACTGTGGGTGCTGCCGTCGGGGGACCAAAAATGGTTGTCTCACCAGGTGCGGCACCTGAACCAGTAGCTGTTGGTGGCTGTGGGGGTGCTGTCGCAATGGTCGGTGCTTGGGCCTTGGCCAGTGGCGAGCACAAGAGGAAGCCGATGCACAGGCTAATTAGCAAAAAGAGGACTGAAACGATTTCCTCTTACACTATAATCACTTTTTGGCACTTTTTTTCAGAACCCATACTTACATTTCATGTTTACTGCTTGAATTGCGTTGGAAAACTATTAGCTAAGCTGCTTAACCGTTCGCCTTTTATAGTTGACGAGTTTCGATGCGTCGCAGTCCGTTTGGGTTGAAATTTAATTAAATTTGAAATTATAATCAAATGTGGCTGATTAGTTTTGCGCTGGCATTCCAAGTAATGCGTTTTATCAATTGGATTATGATAAAACCTTACTATGCGCAAGGCATCAGCAAATTTTCGCTCGTGCGGAGGTGATTACTCATTTTGTATTTAAGCCATCGCATGTTCTGGAAACAAGCAGGCCGACACAATATTTTATAGGTCAAGACTTCTTTATTCTTCTAAAGACAGCCATTAATCAATTTAGTAAAAGTTCGATAGCCACCAAATTGCTGTTTATTTATCAAAACAATTGGTATTGTCGCCCAGTTATTTGGGACTAACAAAGAAATAAAAATCTATTAGCTAGCTATTATTCCTATTCCTGTATAACGTCTTTGAAATAATTCGAATATGTTATTAAATATTTAGTTTGATTTAATTCTGGATCTCAACAATTAATTTGGTGAAACATAAACAACTCAATAGGTTTGACTAACTTTAGGAGACCACAAGAGCCATTAAGCATCTATACATTTATACGTCGATTATTTTATTAATTATAATTTTATTAAATCCCCAACTTGGTCATTACACTTTTAAGCTTTCAGTTGACAAACCAAACTTTAAGTTCCAATGCTCAACCATATGTCAGAGTTTATCAAAATTTAAGTATATTATTTTAATGGTTATTGAGAGATTGCCGCTTCTAAATGCAACAAGAAAACTTTTGAGTAGGATTTAAAGGGTCGATCGGCACGAAGATGTTAAATAATGAATTTCCTGTAGTTTTGAGTATAACTTTAAGGATAGTAAATAATTAAACAAACATCTAAATGATTATTTCCATTAATACTTATGAAGCGTTGGCCTATCACTGTTTTTCTTTCTTTTTTTTAATCCATTCCATTCGGAAGTCATTATGCTGGATAGTAACAGAACAGAGTGCCAATAGATTTTGGTGCCGATGGGTCAACAGCTTTTCTACATATACGTATTATTAAAATCTGGCTAGTTCTGTTTACCTGAAAGAGATAGCCAGCTTTTCTTCGCTTGCAACCTTCACAATCATGGAATATTTTTTTCCTTTTTAACTGCATTTATTTTGGTGATTATTTGCTTGATTATAAACTTCACATATATGGATTGAACAACAGTAAACATTTAAAAAAAATCAAACTTAACGGTAAACAACAACCTAGTAATAATTCACAGTCACTAAGATAAGTATCTTCATAATCAGTAAGTTAGTGACTTGGACATTGACTCAACAGTTTAAACAGATTAACATATACATAGATAGATAGATAGATAGTTAAATATTGTATACATATATAGCAACAATGAACACAGCAACTCTGATTAATTTAAGTTAAATTTTTCATAATGCATAACAAGCAGTTTTTCTTCATAACATTTTTAATTTTCACATATAGTTTTTCTAATGTACTAGTTTTTTTCCGTTTGTGTATAACATGCGATATATGTATGTATGCATAATAATATTTTGCATTTTTTATTATTAAATTTTGTTACATTTACTACGCACAAAGTTTTCTCTAACAATTTTGCCATTGAACAAACGTAGGTAGGTACATATTCATATATGAATGCATGTATGTATATAGTTTTTCTTGTTCTGAAATCTATAATTTTCGTATATAAATTTATTGATATGTATTGTTACTTTTCAAGTCTATATGCGTTAAATGATTTCCTTTGCAACATAGCGACATTGTACATCATGTATAGTATATATAGGTGTATATATATATATATATTCGTCCAAAAAGCATTTGGTATACTTCTTCTATTTGTAACAGAAACACCAAAATTGTTGCCAATATTTCAATTTCTAACATTTATAATTCTATGTTGTTTTTTATATATTTGTAAATCTCTGTAAGCAGCTACTACACACAAATAACGCGCATTAAATAATTTGTCAACAGCTATGTTTTTAGTTGTTGAAACAAGCAACGGAACAACAATAACAAAGCATTGGAAAACAGTTTTTGGGATTATTGATAACATTGATAAGCTGTGTATGTTGGTAACAGAAAAGTATTGCATATTTTCGCGCTGAGGCAAAAGCACAGTGCACACAGTGCTTGTAAAACTGTTCGAGTTAAATTCAATTAGGTAGCCTTTAAAAAGATTATTGCATATTTTTTTTGCTTAACTCAATAAACGCATACATTTATAATATATTTTTTTAACATCACTAATGTTTACGGTTAAAATTGCTCTAAAACATTTAATTGACTAGAGTGTGTGTTTTTATAATTTGTTTTCATTATACGAGTATAGACGTCCAGCAAATGATTTTTTTTTTGTTTCTCCATAACTTAATGAGTTTGCTTTATGATTGACATATAGGTGTGTACTTTTGGATTTATAGTAGCCCCAACGGTGGATAACATGAATATTAACTAATACATACAATTATCTTTCATTACAAGTGGACGCTAGTTAACTACAGAGTTACATTTAGTTTATATTTTATGGTTCATAAAGGTTGTTGCTAAGGTACTTTTGCTGATATGTATGTTCGTTATGTGTATACGTTACGTATACGTGATTTTATGTCAATTAATTCTCCAGCAGGTCGCGCATAATATCTAGAGAGTCCTGGAGGGACTTGGCATAGCGTGAGGCGCTTGTGTCTTCACAAGAGTAGAAAGCCGACACACAGAAAACGATCTGATCCGGGTGAGGATTATAGGAACAACCGTAGCCGCGTGGTGTGACGGGCCCATAGCCCATAAAGCTGTCCGTACTGCATGCCACCTACGATGAAGGAAGTGTAAAAAGCATTAGCCTGGCTACGACAAAGCCGCGAGGGAAACACTAGAAAACTGGCTTACGTTTGAAGCGTTTTTGTGCGTTCTGTGCGCTGGTGCTAGGCTATATAAGAATATATGTAGTTATTTGTGTTGCATAGATATGGAAAGGTGCAATGTGGCAAATGGTAAGTGCCAAGGTGACGGCAAGTGCTAAGTGGCCAGTGCAGAGTGGGGCAGAGAGACACAAGCAAATAATTGGTGGTACCTGACTAGTGGATAACAAGAAACACTGTGAAATCTTGTACGATTCATCGTTGAAGAGCTCATGCATTTCGCCCGTAACCTCGATGCTGGCTTCGCGCAGACCCAACAGTGGTATATCAATACCATGGCCCAGAATATTTTGAACCATGACCTCGGTTTGTCGCGCCACTGCGCAGCGAAAGAGCTCACGTAGATGTTCTTTCTGTTAAAATAAAGCAAATAGGTCAATAATTAAGGTAAAGGACATACAGTAGATTTTTAGCTTGTATTGCATTTATTTTATTTCATAACCACATGTTGAATGTTAAATTAAATAAAAAGTGGTCATAAGAAATGACGACCCAGACAATTTTATTCTGACCTGTTACCCTAGAACAGGTTAGAAAGTATATACTCACGCTATAAATGCTGAATTTGACTTTGCGCCCATCATCCTCATCTTCGCGATCGCTCTCCAGGGGCACATTGGGTCCTTCACCCTGGCACATGGCCTTGGCCCATTCCAAGGCCTCAGTGCTGGCAGCTCGTATGCAATCGACGCGACCCTACAAATAAATTATAAAATCACAACCAAAAAATGTTTAAATAAACAAGGGTTGCTTACTTGCAGGAAGCGTCTTGTGGAAGCACTCTCGTAAGTGGCAACCAGATGACCATAGAGTCTAGTGTGTACAGAAAGAGGATTAAGTAATAAATAAATAATCAGATATCGGCGTCTCCACTTACTTGTAGTAGGCCAGCTGCAGCGATAGCTGAATGTACACATCTGGACTGACCTGACAGGACTTGATGAAGTTTTTCCCATAGCCCATGTAACGATAGACATAAAAGTCGAGATCGTCAATAGCCCTGTAAATGAAAAGTGAACACAAATCATGAAGTTATGAAGCTGGATTGTGTGTTGTACAAAACACTCCATTCCGACTTATTGCTCGCTCATTTAATCATGTATATTGCTCGTTGCCAGGGAAACGCAAAGTATTTAATGAAGTTTATTTGTATCCTTCTCAAAAGCAATAACAGAGCTGCTAGATATTTACAAAGGAAAAACTCTGTATTTGATTTTGAGTACTTGAAAATTCTTACAATTTGTGTTAAATTATTTGCCTGTCGCATTATAAACGTAGAATGGGCGTTTTTCATTTCATTTTCATTAATTTGCCTCAAAGTCTATCTTTAATTTACGCCTTAAATTACAACTAAAATTGAATTCGCCTTCGCTAAAATTAAATAACTTCTATATACACGTTTAATAAATACTATATATATACTATATATATATACTATATATATATACTATACATATAAGTATATTGCATTTTTACTATTTATACTTTTTATTGAACTGCCGAGTCCTTTTCTTCCTTTTTGAGATTCGGTAGAAGTATTTTATAATTTTTTAGTCGGTTTGAATTGAACAAAGAAATAACTCAAATATTCAATGAAATAGTATTACAAACGTTAATTCCCTTTCCTTCAATAAGCCACACTACTTAATCGGAAAGAAAAAAGTTTGATTGCTTATGAAATAAGAGAACTGTAATGGACTTATTTTGTATATATTTATGGGTTACCTATCCACCGATCTGGATGCCTGTGCAAAGCGTTGCTGCACCTCAAAGCCCACATGCCATTCAAGACGTTCCGGTGGCGGCAAATGATGCTGCGGCAGGCCATTATCTTCGGTCTTATTATCCACAATGTGCTTGTAAATCTTCTCGAGCAGCTGCACCACAGCGATTCCCTCAGATGTTGAGTGTTCGTAGCACAGTCCCCAAGTCCCATCGGTGCAGATGATGAGCTGTGCCGTTTAAACACGATTAATGGGACGGACTATGTGAAGCCATGACAGGATCATGGCCACTCACCTGCATTGTTTTGTCGAACCAACGATTGCCGGAATTGTACTCGCTTCCGCCTCCATGTATCATTTCGTGAGCCATGTTCGTCTCGTCGCGTTCGCCAGCCATGTGGACTGAGGGGGTGGCGCCGCTAAAGCCGCGAGCATTGAAGTTGAGAGCCAGCGGCTCATCCAGACACAATACCACAAGCGCCGTTTCGATCAGCTCCAGATTGCGCTGATTGCGCTCATCGGAGGCGGCGAGAGCGGCACGATCTTGTGCCCAGCGTGTCCTTGGCTCGGCAGTGAGCAGACCAACAGGTGCCGGCTTGGCGGGCAGGCAAGGGGCATCGCTTAACACGTAAAGGATTTGCGAGGCAATTTCACTTTCCGAGAGCTTGCCACGATCGTTGGCCTGCAGGACCACGCAATACATTTGGTTGCGGCAGATCACGACCACATGATGATCCTGTTCAGGTAGGTGTTGCCGCTGTGGCAAGAACTGAGAATCGCGCTCCACGCCTGGGCGACGACAGGAGCCCAATAGACGATAGTACTGGGCCATGCATAGCGGCTGATTCTTCTCGCGTGAAGCGGCTCGCTCCAAAGGCAGCTGCCCGCTGTCCAGCATCTCTTTGTGCGCCAATATGCCATCGAGGAGGCGCGCCGCAAAGTGGGCCACATCGTGCACGGTCTTGAAGCGGTGTGGGGGAAGCACCATGCCAGGATTCGAGTTAATGGGCAAGGGTATACGCACATTCATGTACATATCGTTGAGCCAATAGTAGTAGGCCTGAATGGGAAAAATTACATGAAAATTGCATTACAAGCGTTATTTGTGGCTCTAGCGTTTTGTTGTTGTGCCAGAGTTGTTTTTGTTGCCGCGATTTCCGTTCCTTGTAGAACACAAACTCAATTAGCCGCGAGCCTTGAAAGTGCTATGGGTGTGGTCTTTGTGTTTTCTTCGAAATAATACGCACGTTGGCTTCTCTCTTTTTTTCGGGGGTTCATTAACAAAACGATTTTTATCAGCAACACCCGCCCAACATTCCCAACATTGCCGATAAGGCAGCGATCTTTGATCGATAAGGTGACAGATCTAATGTTGTGACAAGTGCACTATAAATAATGGCAGCGCGACATCGCTAAGAGCAGTACCACAGTTTCATCTACACCAAACGGATACCTGAGGACCGCACTGGAATAGCCAGCTACCTGATAAAAGATGAAAGGTAAGCAGACAGACACTGAAGCAAAGATCAACAATTATTTTCTTCAATGCGAACCCATTCCCGCCAATTCATTGCAGTGTTCGCTGCTCTAACCCTGCTCAGCCTGGCGGCTATGTCGCAGGCCTACATCAAGTACCAGCTACAGTGTACTCGCGACGAGGTGGGCATACGTTGGCCCAGTTATCACAGCCACTCCGAGTACTATGTGTGCGAGGGCGTCTATGGCAACCTGATGACGGTTCACTGTAGCCCCGGCGAGGTATTCACCTTTGTACTGCAACAGTGCGCTCCACCATCTCTGTATGTGCCTGCCCCACCACTTGACATGCTGCCCGCCGCAGCTGCTATCACCATGGAGAACGTTGAGGATGAGCCTGAAACCGGCTTTGGTCTTCTGGAAGAACTTGATGCGGGAAAGAAGGAACCTTCCCTCACATCATTAAATCACCACAACCACCAACTATCGAGACCTCTGACTCCAACTCAGCAGCAAATGGTCGACAGCGTGGAAGAGGAGCAACCCGAGGCTGAAAGCCAGGAGATTCCAGAGATATTTGCGGCACCAGAGCAATATCCCACACCCCCAACACCACCCACAGAGCCACCAACACCACCACTATTGTCAGAGCCTGTTATGAGGCCACCAGGTCCATCTGCGCCTAATGCTCCCGTGGCTCCACCAAAGGCACAAGCGGCTAAGAAGAATCCTACACCTCCCAAGGCTGGCAAGGCACCAACCCCAACAGCCAAGAAACCAGCACCACCAAGCAAGGTGGCTAAGAAGCCAGCACCACCCAGCAAGGTGGCTAAGAAGCCAGCACCACCCAGCAAGGTGGCCAAGAAGCCCGCGGCATAAACAAACCACATATTCGTACACACAAATGAGTTCAAATCGCCAGATATAGATCGGACAGTAACATATAAAGAGAAGTAGTATTCAAACAAGCGGAATTTCATGACCAAAAAACTCTAAATAACAGTCAATAAATAAACTATGTGCAATTGGCAATGACGTTGCAAATTATTTTTGGAAATTTTTAGACAGGCTTCAACGAAAATCATCCAAATATACATATGTACATATAGTATGTATATTTATAAGGAGATACCAACACGACCGTGACACCAACTGCTATCGGGCGATGTGTATCTAGAAACTGCCAAAATGAAAAATTGAATGCAACTGGTATTTGATTTTGTGACAAGAAGCTCGCACAGCTGCGTGCTTTTTTCAACAATGTACAATATGTTATGATACATCGATTTTTTTTAAAAAGCCACACACAAACAACATTAGTTGTTCACATTAGGCTTTCATCCGAAAAACATGGGAAACGTTGATACCTGTAGAAAGGCTTTTATCGCATCCTAGTTGAAATGTGAAGAACCTCAATACTTGGATACTTTTTAAGTGGGTGTACGATTTGTCTTCAATTGGTAATAAAGTCGCCTTTTTATCGTACGTATTGCATCGAATCCATATTAGATTTGATAAAATTGCTTAAGACTTTTTCATATACACTCATCTCTTAAATACTATGTGGCTAACTAGAGGTTGGGTGGGCATTAAGCGATTCCTCACCACGAAGAATACAATTGGAACTAACTAACCTAAGTAAATCGAACGAAAAGAATTACGCTGAAAATAACTGATGTTGTGATATCAAAAGCGTCGGACAAGTCTGGCCGCATACGAACGGAGTTCCAGTCAAAATAAATATAAACTAATCAGTAACTAGCTGTCTCCCAGCGTAACAATCTCAACAACTATTTGACAAAGATGAATGAGATTTAGCGCGTATACGAGGTCGGGCTGAAAAGTGATCCCTTTAGCCAAAAATACATTTTTTTTTTTAAACATCAAAGTTCTGCCTATAACGTTCCATTTACTTTTTAATAACTTGTAATAATATTTTAACATTTATACTTTCCACTCATATTCGATGGATTGCCACAGAAGAAAAATCTCGGTAAATAGTAAATAGTTCTTTCCACTCTATTTATCACACTTATTTCTGTCGAGTTCTGAGTCTCAGTTCTCCTAAATAAAAAAAAGGTCTTCAGTATTTTATAATTGACATAAAGAGTTCCCAATTTCATGTGAATTTTATTTGTAAATATTACTTTTTAATGATTCCACTGTGTGAAATCTTTGCTCATATGCAAACGGAAATTGGGAGGTCCAAATAATTATAAAATACTTCGTGTTTATTTTTGAAGCTCCCCGCGATGTTTATAGGAATGGGTGTTTTTGCAATGTTGCTCTAAGTTGCGAATACCCATATGATTTGTTTTAAAGAACATAGCTGTTTGGTCACAAAAAAAACCTTGCTTTGAGTGACAGCCGAAACATCCCGATAATTCTGATGTGCATCGCTATCTTGAGTTACGTTGACACCGACAATGAATTACTGTAGTTTTTTAAATTTTGTCCATCGTTGATATGATTTTTCCTTCAATTATGCTTCAAGCATGCGAGTAGTTGATTAATCGCCATTAACCTCATGGCAATAAATAGGCTTACCCCTAACTACCCTTGTCAGTGTCCGACACGTCGATTAAGTGTTCAATTGAAGAGAAAAGCTAATTTTTGCAACATGAAAGTTGGTAAGTGGTAGCGCAGATTCAGGATAACAAACGCAGGATACCATTTATTTTCCTGATTTGCAGCACTTCTTGTCCTCGCTGCGTTGGTGAGCGCCAGCAGCGCACAGACCTGTAGTCCGCCCGTCTACGAAGAAAACTTTACGCCCAATTGCAATAACGACCATAGAATCCGGCTGCCAAACTATTTGGATTCCACATCCTACTATTCTTGCGCCAACGGCTCCCCGGTCTCGATCAAATGCGAAACAGCCACTCCCTATTTCAGCTACGTATATCAGAGGTGTACTACCTGTGCCCAATATATACCAGCTGTTACGTGCTCAGGACTTACTATCAATGTCACGTGCTTTGCCATTAGTAGTTCCACTACAGGAGTAACAACAACAACAACAACCACCATTGCTCCTGACATCGGTCCGGACACTGCTCCCACCGCCGATCCAGACATTGCTCCTACCCCTCCCACTGAAACTGCTTCCAGCACTTCAGCCACAACTGCCGCTCCCATTCCTGGCATACCAACTGCACCCACTTCCAATGATTTCCCAACGCCGGCAACGTCAGCTCCCACCGTGCCCACGGCCCCTGTAGATGGCCCACCAACTGCCTGATAAACATAAGAGTGGAATAGGAGGCCGTGTCTCAGTCATGAATATGTACCGAGAATTTAATATTTTAATAAAACCAATAGAGCATTATTATATGTACGATTGCACGGAAATTAACAAGCTAAGTATACCACATTCGAGCAATCTGAATCTTCAAAGGCAAGAATACGACCTATAACAGATTATCCTGGCCACCAACTCCCAAAAGGCCAACAAACTACAAATCTGCACCTCCAAGCGAAGCAGTTAAGAAGCCCTAAACTCAAAGAGAACTTACTTGAAATTTAATGAATCCCTCATGTATTTGAACAAGAGTTTTCATGACCGAAATTCTCTAATAATAGTCGGCAATGACGTTGCCAACTGTTTCAGAATAATGCTCTGTAAAAAATATGAAGGGTAATACTTATGGGTATGCAGATACAGCTATACAGATAGGGGCCTGCCAGCGCCTTCTTCACAAATATGCACAAAACATTGAATATCCTTGATTAACAACCGATAAACAACCGATTTTCAAGTATGAGATATTTTTATTTAATTTGGTTCTGTACAATTTCTTGAACTGAGGTTTTCAACACTGGTCTACTCAAGTCAATCGGTTCACAAATGACAAAGTTATTCAATATCTACATACCGACATAAAAGATGGCGCACCCAGTACATACATATATGTTTGTAAGGAATGATTATAGACCTGGGGTATATTTATAAGTTTTGAACCATCAAAGCTAATTTACTTGTAAGCAATGCTAACCACATAAGCTTCTAAATTTCCATGAAGTTGGTTAAAGATGTCTTATAGCTTCCACAGGCACAGTTTTTCAAAACATATTTTATTTAAGATTGAGAGAGAGTAAGAGACAATGAGAGAGCTTTAAAGTTATACGCAATTTTTACAAACCTACTGATAATCCTATACAATTTGGCAATGCCAGCCTGGTTGGACCAGTTCGAAAATTAAACATAGTCACCCTAGATTTTACTGATTATACCAAACAAATGGTTTTAAATACCAGACTAGATGCATTGTCGGATTCTACAAGACCATGCTTATAATGCGTGGACGAGTCAATCAGTCAGAGAAACTAAAATGAGGAAACTTTTGGTATCCCAATTAAGAGTTGAAGATTAAAGTCACATGAAGTACATGCTCCTAGAAAACAAGCAGTCCGTCCACGGACTCCACGGACGCCTCCGAAGGCAATTTTTGTTCTTCAAAAGAGTGATTTTATACACCATACCCCATCTATCGCTATAAATACATAAATGGTTTAAAAAAGCCACTCAAAAAGAGACTTTCTTTAAAGTAAATGGACAATTTCAGTATCTTACTTGTAGACAATTACTTGGAGTCTTCAGACAAGAATATATATAAGATTACTACAATCTTTATTGAAAGTATGACCAGTAGTGAAAATTAGGAAAGAAGAAACACAAAACTTCATTTAGGGTAAAACAGAATTGGAATTCTAAGGCGTAGGTCAGTACCAATGACAAGTAATTTGTCATTCACCAAACTCTATTGCATAATTTAGATCCAAAATATTCCAATATTGCAATATTACATGTTAGCTGGGAAGAGAAGCTATGCATTACTGCGAGGGAACTAAGTGACAATATTATCAGGAAATACATATATTATGTCGATAATATAAACGATAATTTGCTGCTACTGAACAGTCGCTAGCTATTGACCTATAAGGGACGGTAGAGGCTCTTCGATACCTCAATTATTCAATATTGACACCTTTTTTATTTGGACCTTCAATAATGTTACAAGCAAAACAAAAAAAAAGAATAATTAAACGAGCTGATTACAAATAATTGATTAGCTGAAGTCCCCGGCATTGCCATAAATAGGCTAGTCGCTTACTACGCTGGGCAGTCTTAAAAACGGCGAGTTATCATAAGGTTTAACAAAGGAAAAGCGAGCTAGTAACATGAAAACTGGTAAGAAGTTCAGTTCTGCTCTGTTAAGGATAAAATGCACTGGATACCATTATTTTGTCCTCCTTCTTGTGTAGCACTGCTAGTCCTTGCAGCGCTTGTAGGCGCCAGCTGGGCACAGACTTGTGATACGCCTGTCTATGAAGAGACCCTGGAGCCCCAGTGCAGTAACGGGAGGAGAGTCCAGCTGCCCAACTATTTGGACGCCACAACTTTCTATTCTTGCGCCAGCGGTTCCCCGGTACTACAAAAATGTCCCGCTGCCACTCCCTATTTCACCTACGTATATCAAGGCTGTACTACCTGTGCCCAATATATACCAGCTGTTGAGTGCTCAGGTCTGACCATCAATGTCGAATGTTATCCCATTGATACTCCTGCTCCGGAACCAACCGCTGCTCCTACTGCGACACCCACCGGTGCACCCACAGCGGCTCCCACCACTGCACCAACTGACGCTCCCACCGCTGTACCAACCGATGCTCCCACCGCTGCCCCAACCGATGCGCCCACCACTGCTTCCAATGTTCCAACGCCAAATGGTCCGGTGACCTCCGTTCCAGAGCCACCCACTCCAGTTCCCACGGCTCCAGTATTACCGACTGGCCCACCTAGCATCCCATAAAAGATGGCATCAATTAACAATATAATTGAGATTTCGCTGAAATGATCTATTTCAATAAATGACATTGAGCAATCTTTTAAAGCATAGCAGATCAAAATTTTTTATTCAAATACCTCGATATTGCCTTTCCATTCCCCCTAAGAGACACATACTCCCAACAGCTATAAAAAGTGAACCACCATCTGCTACTCACCCAAGTATCTGGCTAGATATAGATCGCGAAGTAAATTAATAAAAAAAGAGGAGATAGTGTTAATAAATAACATATGTAAATGCAATCAGCAACGTCGTTGTATATACACTTCTCCGAAAACCGTCCAAATATATGAATATACATTCATAAACCGTGACACTGCGCTATCGGGCCATATGTATCAAGAAACTGTCAGAGTGAAAAATTGAATGCAACTGGTATTTGATTTTGTAGCAAGCACATTAATTTTGTAGGCAAATATGCCGTTTAAAGTTATTTCGCTGGGAATCACACTTACTTGGCTCTTTCTTCTCCAAATAACGTAAGCGATTCTTTTAAAATTCCTGTCTTTTAAATCGTATTTACAATGTACTTCAATTCTTTTATACTTCGTCTTCTTCTGATTTGCTTCAATCACCAGTTTTATTGGTAAGGCTAAGTTATTCCAGTTCGCCTTCATAGGGAACCCTTCTCTTTCTGCGCTTCAAAATTGTTGATCGTGTGTATATTTGCTAAGTATATTGGGGGATAACCTCAGAGTAATACCTATAGCTATGACAGTAAAAAGTACTTGACAATTTATTGAGTTCTCCTCGAAGCAGGGATATGTACACTCAAAAGTTAAGCATTATAGTATTTTAACTTTAGCTCTAACACCTACTTTATAAGCTGCAGTGAAAACAATACCATTGTTAGAAAAAGGCATTAAAGTCATTTGTAGTATATACTTGTAAGTATTGAAGCGAACCCGGAACCCTTAGCAGAGCATCAACTTGCCAAAGTTTTCAATGAAATTCATCGTAAATTTGTGTTTCTCGTTATCTTGAGCTGCGTTGACGCTGACACTTTCTGTAGATTACTCGTGTTACACGTCTACGACTTCTTTAATTTTTGCCATTGATGATATGATTTGGCCTTTAATTATGCGACTAGTGGGGAAACAAGAATTAATCTCGCAGTGGGCTGATAAAAAATGTAAAACAAATGCTTCAGTGGTGCCTCACGACCATAAATAGGCTTTCGTTGTGCCTTTACAGAGCAGTTTTGGAAGCGTAAAGCCAGCGTAAAGTTCAAAGGAAAGGAAAAAGGCGAACAACAATATGAAAAGTGGTAAGAAGAAGTGCGGTGGCAGGTCACAATATAAAGGATATCCTTATATTATTCTTCTTTTTTGCAGCGCTGCTTATATTCGCAGCGCTGGTAAGCGCTACCAGCGCCCAAATCATCGGCGGTTGTACTGCTCCTAACTACACTGAGACCTTGGAGCCTACCTGCATCAACGGCCAAAAAATCAAATTGCCAAATTATGAGGATGTTACCACCTACTATTCGTGCATTAACCAAACGGCGGTTCTGACATCGTGCCCAGCTGCAACTCCCTACTTCACATATGTATTACAAGACTGCTACTCCTGCGCAGAATATATACCAGCCGATGAGTGCTCGGGCTTGAAGATTACTGTCAACTGCACCGCTATAGAAACCACAACCAGTACCACGACTACTACAACCACAGCCAAGCCTACGACAGTCACGACGACAACAGCTGCAGGCAACACCACAGCTACAACCACAAGCACCACCACCACTACAACCACGGTAGCGGCGCCAACAGCGCCAACTCCGGGAGGTTCAACAGTATCAGTACCCCCACCGCCCTCACCGAACCCACCAGGTGTAATCGAACCAAGCACACCATTACCCACAGCTCCAACATCTGCAGGGGGCCCTCCCTCCGTGTAAAACAGAATGTCGATGTCTATACAAATGTACACCTAACATGATTTTGTGTGAATAAACAACATAGAGCAATATTTTGATAGACGCCAAAACGCGAATTCTCACCCAATTATCTTCAGCCTCGCGCTTATCCAGCAAATACAGATGCAGTCTCGATCCCAGAGCCTGCGGCGCCGCAAATTGTTTGATCAGGCCTTTGGTGCGTTCAAGTTGGGCTGCCGTTGTGATGGGCTCCAGAGCTCGGATATAGTCGGCCATGGTCTGTTCTAGCGGTGGGACAGGTACTTTGGGTAGTGTCTGAAAAATGAGAGCGAGAAGGAAACAATTTAGGTTCAACAACCCTTTCTTTAAGCGCATTTTCTCTCATTTGTATGCACAACATTAATGCAAAAGAAACGGCCGTGGCGATGGCAAGACGACGTCTATATGCCCTGGGGACAGGAATGTCAAATCATACAAAAAGTAAAACTAATAGAAAAGGGGAGAAACTAAAGTCGGATGTTCCGACTTTAAAATACTCTGTACATAGTAATAATAATAGAAATTTAGAAAAAGAATTCGATTCGATTTAGAATTCCAAAAATTATGGAAAATTACTAATTGCAAGGGAGCGGGGAAGGAGAAAAATTTTGAAATATACTTAAGCTGCGTATTCATTGAAGGCATTTGGGAGTAAAATTTTGTGTCCGTAGGTCTTAAAATCTCTGAGATCTAGTTGCTCATACGTACAGACAGGGCTAGATCGTCTCGTCTTGTCAGGATTATCAAGAATATAATTACTTTATGGGGTCTGCCACGCCTTCTTCTATCTGTTACATTTTTCACTTTCCGCAAGCCTAATATACTCTTGAACATTTCGTCGTCTTTTATATTCCATTCCCCCCTCTCCTTGGCATTGTCTAGTTTTTATGACGCGTATTGCTTCAAATCGATTGGCCTTCCAACTTCTTCATCTCAAAAAAACAAATAAATGTGAAAACAAGAATGGAAAGCTACAGCTAAGCAGGCCCAACTGTTCAACACACAAAGAAAAAAAAACTTACATAAAAACACAAAAAACAGTTAAATAAGTTATCGCCAACAGGAATATATTAATATTTCCACAACTCTAAAAAAAACTTTAAATAAGTTTTAATGGTAATTAGAATAAACAAACTACAGCGATTCTGGCAATGTGTAATAAAGTATTAAGTAATTATTAATTAATAATTACTAACCACGTGCTATGGAACAACGGATTCAAGCTGCATGAAAGCTAAATATTTTGAAATATTTTGGTATACAAACGATTGTTTTCTTCAAATTAGATTAGCTTTCTTCTGCTGTCATTTCCTTCGGCTTAGTAACACTGCTCTTAATGGACTGCCAAGAAAAACTATACTCCTGGCAATTTTAAATGCTGCTAAGAAGTAACACAATTCCGCACTTAACAAACAATTGTATAAATTTAAAAGTGTCAAAATGTCATTGACTGCAGCACAGTTTTGTTTTTTTTTTTTTGGATTTTTTGCTCAGGAACCAACGCGAAATTTACTTTGTCCTTTGGCAGTCCTGGGGATAACAGCTAGTCAGGTTGCCCAGAATCTGTTCAGTTGTAATGTCTAACTCTATTTCGTTTAGGGGTTGTTGCTGTGCTTTTACAGGTAAGGATGAGAGTTTGTGGTGTTTGGAGGGGGAGAACAGTCTGTGTGTAAGTCTGTCAGAGTTTCCCCGCATTTCTGGGTTGGTTTTGGGTCTGGTTGGGTTGGGTTGGGTTTGGTTCTGGCCCTTGGGGGGACGCTGTTGCTATACAAAAGCGCTCGTTATTTGCATTTGTAATTATAACAAACAGGATTTGTGTTGCTTTCACACACACACGCACACACACACACACATCATGCTCGTACACATTTGTTTGTGTGTATTTGTGTTTGCCAATGACTTATTGCAGTAGCAAGTCTGTCGAGCTCTTGTGTAAATATTTGTGCTGCCTGCAAAGAAATTCAAATTGATTATTCAATTTAACTTACGTCAGGAAATCCAAATTCGTCTACGGACTCTGCAGTGGAAAGCCATTTCTTGGGTATTGACAGAATAGAGTCTTTCCATCCTAAAAATATATAGAAGGCGGAGACACATTAAACAATTGTTGATTTAGCTCTCTATTTTATCAAACTACAATTATACATGTTGACTAACTTCCACTTTATAATTGTTAACATAATCGCTTCGCCTTAAATTAACAATATTAATCACTGTCACAAAGCTAAGGTGCTTCGTACTGTTACTAAGAAACGCTGTCAAAGTCAAAAGGTATGAGTAACGAATGGGCGTATAACCGTTATCAAGAGAAACAAAACCAATAAAATCCGAAATGTAATGCTACGTATTCTGTTAAGAAAGTATTGATTTCTTTCTTGAATTGCTTAGACAAAAAATGTTTATTTAAAAACACGCATACACATTCGTTTGCCACGCTTTCGAAATCTAACCATAAATCCATGGAATGGGCTAATTAATGATTTGGTAAGTCTATTGATTTGAAAGAGTTCCAAGACTGATAACAGATAACCAATGAATATACTTAATACAATTAGGACTACAACGTTAAAAGGGGTGCCTAAAATAGACTTTGTTCTACCAATGATTCTACAAATTATATATACTTGATATAGTAAGACGATTCAAATGAGACTTGAGATTGCATAAAAGAACGAATTTTGATTTTTGTACCGGTCGTACCTATGGCAGCTATATAATATAGCGCCATAGCGATTTTGACGGGACCTAATTATTATAGTGGTTCACTATAAATAACTCATAAACTTAGTTGCGATATTTAAAAAAAAAAATTTCCAGTGGCAGCTATATCATAAGATTCATCGAATTTGATGATATTTTAGAGTGTAAATAAATAGTATTGGTTACGACATCTTAGGAAACAAAAAAGTTTTGGTAATATAATTTATCGTTCTTATGACAGCTATAAGACAAATATATACATAGCTTATATATGATTTGTAGTAAACGTACTCTGCGTTTGGATAAGACAAGTCTACATATGTATAAAGTTTTGTGGCTCCAGCTGTTATAATATAAAAGTTAGCTTGTCATAGCGTGGAGTCTTCTGCCTGTTACACAAATATGGCGTTTAGACTTTCTAATATACCCATTCACTCTTCTGCAATAGGGTATACAAACGGTGAATTACATTCTTTTTATAGAAGTCTGAAGCGAGCGACAACTTGCTTGCTTTTAGTATTTTATTGGACTGATAAGACAAAGAAGTTACTAGATTTGACCAAGGAACTTGATTGATTTTGCCAAACAACATTAACATTGCGTTAATCAATCATGCAGAACTTTGAAAAATAAGTATATATGCATATGGCTGGGTCTGTTAAAGTAAATTTTAAATTATAGATACCAGCAGTGAACCCTTCAACCTTCAACGTCGTATTTAACATTTTTGCTTTAAAATGGAAAATAAAACCTTGTTAAAACAAAAAGAACACAATGAACGCTTCGCTTCTTATCCCCCAAACAACTCAACCCTAAACATCTCGCATCGCACCCAAAAGCATCATCAGTTTCTCATCTTATGGCTTTGAATGTCTGCCTGACCTTTCGCTCAAATGCAATCTACTTGTATTAAATTTTTGTTTTTACTACAGGACATTGATAGAAGAAATCTATATATATGTACGAATATATATATGTGTATATACTTATTTATTTATATGGAGTAATTCGTGCAACTTTGTCATTGCTGTAATTCGAGTGTATAAGCACTTCCGGTTGCCATGAGTAGCAGCAATTTCCGGTTTTCGTTTCAAGTGGACTTGCGTCTAAGCGCTATTGTTGACTGACTGGGGGGCATTTGACTAAGCCCTGTGCAATTTTCAGACAAATCAATTTGTCTTCTCATAAAATATTATTTACTCGTATTTTGTCATGATGGCGACCACGTTTACATTTAAGCATACACGTGGACAAAAATATAGTGAATTATTTACCAACAAATATCTATTGAAATGATCCAAACTATTAATAAACAAAATATCTCGTGCTTAAGAAGTTGCTCGCTATTCGATGTACGAGTATGTAGATGCAAGCTTTATTTTATCCGTGTCCGGCTAATGTGTGAAGACCGAAAATATCAGCTATCAATATAAAAGAGCTGTCATAGAAAAGATATGATTTTAAAATAATTGCTGTAACAAAAACTTGTTTATTACTAATCCATTGGGAAAATTGTAGTTATATTTACTGCATTTACATTAGTCGTCGTCGTCGTGAATGGTGATTATGGCTAAGCAAAGGCAAAAAAGGTTTAAAAACTATAACATAGTACGGAAATTATAGGATATGGCCCGTGCCCATGAAGGAATACTGGTAAATCAAATACCTCCATCAAGTCTGAGGTGTTCATTAGAAACTGTAATATTGTAAATTTCTGAAATAAAAATATTAGTCACTTAAATAATATATGCCAGCACGACGAGCTTAATAGAAATCCTTCTCTCTTCTACTTATCGACTCTTTCGTGTACACAATGCAAAACACCTGTTGATTTAGCTGAAGTCATATTTGTTTCTAAAATTCAACATTTTTCGATATTTCTCTGGGTGTATATGTACGACTATGTATCTGGCCCTTGAGAGCGACCACTCGAGTGCTTTTATGTGTTGCCTGCTTTCAACCGTTCTCTAAATAAAATAAAATCTTATCTAACTTGAACAATACTAAGCACATGCATAATTTGATTAATAAAAATGGTTTTGTCCTTTATGACAATCATGGCGCAACCCTCAATGCAATGATGTCAAATTTAATGCAATTTATTATCCTTTTTTCATTATCTCGCTAAAGATGCCCCCACCAGCCACCAGCCCACCAGCCACTGACAAAATGTAGCAACTACCCAGCCGCACGCATTGTGGGTGCCGCTAACGGAGGTAATCACACAATGAAGTCACGTGGCAGCAATTTGAGCGTCCGCTCCTTTGTTAAGCTGCGCCTTGTTGTCTTTTCATGAGGCGTGCAACAACAGTAACCACAAACCCTAACCAGTTGGCTGCCTCAGTGTCTACTTGCCGCATGCCACGCTGCCCTGTTAGTGACGCTACAAACTTTACCAATGTCTGCCTATTCAGTGGACCATTGGCGGAGTAGGGGGACTTGACGCGTTGGCAGTTTGCAGCAAATTATAATAAATTGTATTAGGAAATGTGCATAACGTCGCAGAGCAGCAACAAAAAAAGAAGAGAAAAGAATTAAGTAATTAAGCCGGCGGTTGCGGTTCGGTAAGGTTGGTTGGCTGGCTAATATTTCATAGCAATCGCTCTGGCCCTGTTGCAGAAAATTTATGATGTTCACTTAATAACGCAATTATCAATTTAGAAAAAAGTTGTGATATTTATGACAAACTTTCTTTTGTTTTATATGCATATATTTATAAACATTTTTTGTTACTGGGACAGGTCCTTGTCTTTGATGCTGTTTTGGGTCTGACGGCAACCACTTGAAACACTTTAATGCATAAATTCCAATTAGAAAGCTTCGTAGCTGCACCACAAAATGAAAAAAACATTTTTGCAACATAAAGTGCCAAGGGGCCCAATTTAAGTGCGCGTGTGTGTAGCTTAATGAAAATGAATTGCCGCGACATGGGACTCATATGCCGTTGGCGAAATTGTAACTCTAGACCGCTTTGCACATGAAATTACCTGTCCAACGTGGCCAATTGGGGCATGTGGGGGCGGTCTGTATGTGCCCCAAGCAGGGGACACATATCAGCTAGAACGGAGGGCCGAAACCCGAGGGAAGTTGTGCAAGTAATCAAAAATAAATAACTAACAGGCAGAAGTATCCCTAAGACAACATTGGAGAAGCTCTGACCAATGGCAAAACGACATCTTGCAATTTTTATCTAGTTTATCATTTTCGAAAGGCCGATTACACATGTAAAACCGGAAACTTAAATATATGTAAACATTATATCTGACGACTTTTCTAATATATGTGGCACTATTCTATATGTAAATTGCAGCCTATTAGTGAGAAAGCTGCTGACTGTTTTGGAACAGTTGTTATGTATGGTATGTATGTATGATCCAGCCCTGATCGCCTATCTGTGAAATGGAGAAATCCTTTGAAAATTTTTAAATTTTTAATTTAGAGTACACGTAAAGGTTACACCAATTTTGATTTAAAAACTTCCTATTTACTATTGCTAAGTAGCTCTTTTTGTTTTAAGAAAAACACATTTTTTAAAGTAGAAAATGTCGAACTACGAATTCTTTAAAGTTCAGGTCTAAAGTGTTTTCATTTCTTTGAAAAACCACTCCTTAAGGGTAATGTAGATATCTAGAGAAACACTGTAATAGCAGTTAACACATCAAGAGAGAGTATTATCTTTCTATTTGCTACTGAAACTTTAGAAAATATTTAAAAGCTGCTGTTCGTGATTCTGAAGATAAAGCAACATTTACGAATATGCTGGAGTTATCTGCATCTGACAGATAACAGTTTCTAAAATTTGACAGTAAAAGAGCACCACTTCTAACTAAGCTTCTCCAAAGTTTTCAAAATTAGATTAATATTATATTAATATTATACTGATAGAAAAAATGCATTTTAAAATACAAGCCGCAGGTGTATTATTTCGTCAAAATCGTATTGAATTAATTTCCTTAAATGTGATTTCATTATGCCCAATCGACATTAAAATAAGATATTTAATATTGAAATAAGCTTAGCCGTAAGTGAGACAAGAAATCTTTCTTTCTCTCTCGAGTATAAAAATAACCTGCTCCAAAAGTTCTCGAGCAACCCTTGCCGGGGTGTTGCGTTTCGCTTTCTCGACACTTGTTAGTGTTGCCGACATGTTGCAATTTTAAACCTTTCATGCTCGTGGCTCCAGCCCACCACGCGACATTTTGGGGCGTGTTGGCGTGTGTTTGACAGCTTCCCATTACGCTTACTTTGCAGAGGTGGACTTGTGACTTGGCATATAGCTTGTACAGAGCAATATAATATTAAATTTCATTTCACATTGCAACTTTCTGCCCACAGTACGAGATACGCACACCCAATTAGTACACATTG